GTCAAGCCACAGACCCCAGAAAGAATACCCAGAGGAGCCTGAGCACACTCTGTTCTCTGAAATTCAACCAAATGAGTCACTCCACTTCTCTGGGAGCAGAAAGAGACTGGAAGTTTTTCTACAGGTAAATCCCTCCATGTAGAAACATGAAGAGTAGAAATAAGGGGCTTCAGCCTGCATGGAATCTCAGACTCTGAATCTGGCAAAGCTAGGAAAGGGAAGAGGTTTCAACTGGAAAAGAGTTTTAGTTTTGATATTTTAGTGGAATGGACTTTTTTATGAGCAAAATAACCCACCTTTTTAATATTTAAAAGAAAAAAAACTGTAAAATACATCTGAGAATTGACACAGGTAAGCTTCTAGGGGCAGTCACTAGAAAAAACAATGTTTCTCTCCGCTTACATACTGCCACATCCAGCTTGTTTATTGAGCCAGATTCTAAGGTTCTGAGGATTTTGGTCTGAACAATTGGGATATGGTGGTGGTCATTTACTAAAATAGAGAAGGTGTCTTTTACTTATTTAGAGAGAGGATCTCAGCCTGTCACCCAGGTAGGGATGCAGTGGCACAATCATTAGCTCACTGCAGCCTCAAACTCCAGGGCTTAAGTGATCCTCTGGGCTCAGCCTCCTGAACAGCTAGGACTACAGGCCTGTGCCACCACACCTGGCTAATTTTTAAGTTTGTTAGAGACATGGGTCTTACTATATTGTCCAGGATGGTCTCAAACTCCTGGCCGCAAGCAGTCCTCCCACTTTAGCCTTCCAAAGTGTTGGGATTATAGGCATGAGCCACCACATCTGGCCTAAAATAGGGAAAGTTTGATTGGAAAGTTCAGCTTAAGTGGGGACAAGTTATACTAGAGATGCTTATTAGATATTCAAGTGAAATACTGAGTAGGCTGGCATTCAGGAGAGAAGATAATGCTAGAGGCAGGAATTTGGGAGTCATCTGCTTTCAGGTAGTGTTTGAAATCATGAGATTGGACAAGATCAACTAGGAAATGCACATACAAAAAAGAGAATTCCAGCAGGAGCCCTGGGTCACCAACCTTTTGCAGTATAGAGGAGTGGCCACAGAGAGAAGGAAAACCAGAAGAATATGCAGTCATAAAATAAGTGAAGATATGGTGATCTTTGCTGAGGCTTTGAAGGGATTGCAAAATGAAGACTGAATGTATTATTGGATGTAACAAAGCAATGTACTGGTGACTGACAAGAGCTGTCTCAGGAGACATGGGGAGAAAACTCTAATGGCAGAGTTTTAAAAGAAATTTTCAGTTAAACATGGCAGAATGAGCATAGGCATTAACTTCTTCCTGCCCCTACTCACTTAAGTAAGTAATAAAAGACATAAAAATCCACAAAGAATGGGAGAAGAGACACCAGTAAGCAAGTGAAGTCAACAAAATTACAGAGGCAGGGAATGGATGAAGAAGTTATAACTGACTTAGCCAGACAAAGTTGAAACTTAACATTTGTGGGTGAAGTCAAGAAGAAAGAGACCAGTCCTGCCAGCGAACACCAGGAAGGTGTAGAAATTGGAGTAAGTGGTGGAAAATTTTTGTAAGGAACAATGTGACCATAGATTCCCCTCTCCTACTTGGGTGGAGGAAGCCTGCAGTTGAATCAGAGTAGGTGTGACCTCAGGCATGAGGCATAGCTGAGGGCCACTGAAAGCAGAGGGATTGAGTGAAAGTCTACACATGTGTGTCTAGGCTCACTTCTCCCACTCAGCCAGATAACATGAGATAGGAGTGGAAGGATTCCTCTGGAGCAGCTGGTCCACAAGAAACATCCTGCAAACACTGGCAACTATGACCCAGTAGCAAAACAGAAACCTATTAGCGGTCAGGCTGTGTACCCATTGACACAGTTTCCAGCAAGCTCCTTAGAGCCCATCATCAGCATGAGCCAGACATTTGAGGAAAACAGTGCAACATTACCTCCAGCCATTCAAGTGATCAGCTGGTCCAGTCAAGCCTTCAGATGACTAACCTCAGGCAATACCTGACTGCAGTTGCCCGAGACATCCCAAGAGAAAGCTGCCCAGCTGAATCCTCCGCAAATTTAAGCTACTATATTTGGGATAATTTGTTCAATAGCAGTAAAAACTAGAAAAAAAGACTACAAAGTACCACAATAAATTGGGCAGGGGTTGGTGAGAGTGTGGGGAGGCAACATATCCAGTAATGTCGTTGAGAAATTTGAGACCACCAGGAATAGAGGTAATCTCAAGGATTTCTGGCAACAAAAAAACAAAAACACAAGGGAATGATTTCCAATCTAAAATTCTATTCCCATTCAAATGATGAATTGAACATAAGTCAAAAAAAAAGAAAACCCATTTCTTTACTCTCACAACATGCTTTTGACACCAGATGTAAAGGATTTCTTTCCACCAGCAAGCAAGCAATCAGTTCTACAGCAGACACCAGCTGGGTATCTGCTTCAATCCTGCACCATGTATCTGGAGATAGTGGCAGATCACACAAGTTGAGGACTTCGTCCCACAAGGCTGAGCCCCATGTCCAGTGTCAGTCACAAGCCCCAGGTTGTTTTACCTGTCCTTCTGAGTTCCCGTGACCCCTTCCTTGGCTTTAATTTGCTAAAGCAGTTCACAGAACTCAGGGAAACACACATTTATTACAGAGGATAAAGGCTACAAATAAACAGCCAGATGAAAAGATACACAGGGTGAAGTCTAGAAGGGGCCCAAGAGCAGGAGCTTCTGTCTGCAAGGAGTTGGGGTGTGCCATTCTCCCGCCATGTGGACATGTTCTTGTCCACCTTTCTGGAAGTCCCCACACATCTGACTATACACAAGCTCTCTGAACTCTGTCCTTTTGGGTTTTTAGGAGGCTTCATCACATAGTCATGATGGATTACATCATTGGCCATTGGTGATCAATGTCACTTTCAGTCCCTCTCCCCCAACCTCAGAGAGTTTGAGGGGGTAGGCTGAAAGTTCCAACTCTTCTATGTCATGCTCTGGTCTTTCAGATGACCAATCCCTATCCTGAAACTACATAGGTGCTGCCAGCCATCAGTCATCTTACTAGCATATAAAAAGACATTTTGGAGATTCCAAGGATTTTAGGAGTTGCATATCAGAAAGCAGAGGCAAAGACCAAATATATATTTGATAATAGTACAGTAGAAATAAAGACATTTTAGATATTCAAGCTCAGAAGGCTACTAAAGGACAGGCTTTATCAAGAGAAAACCAAGGAAGAGGAAAATATTATCCAGAATCCAGGAAATGTCCAAGCTATGGCAGGAAGACAGGGTTCCCAGAGGATCAATTCTAAGAGAAAGTGAAGCATACTGCCTGATGCACATGACTTTGTTGGGAAGAGCTTTACACTTAGGGAAGTGACTTTTGGGTGAAGTAGTGACAGGAGCATAGATAACCAAGAAAATGAAAAATTCAATTATTAACTCTAGGAAAAATCAACAATTATACCTAAAGGAAATGTAATCAATCATAAACTAATAAAGGGCTCAACAGGAAATGGTAAACATAGTTATACTAAACTGTGAATGCAGATTTCAGCCAATATTATATTAAACTCTTTAGGGAGACTAATAGAGGAAATGTGGGTGTCGAGGGTGGGGGTGATTACATGTTGCAGAAAAGACAATTAAGAGAAGCTAACTCCTTCCATTGTAGGAAGTCAACCATCTCTAAAGTCAAGATTAAGAAATAGCATTATTGCCGGGCGCGGTGGCTCACGCCTGTAATCCCAGCACTTTGGGAGGCCGAGGCGGGTGGATCACAAGGTCAAGAGATCGAGACCATCCTGGTCAACATGGTGAAACCCCGTCTCTACTAAAACTACAAAAAATTAGCTGGGCATGGTGGCGCATGCGTGTAATCCCAGCTACTCAGGAGGCTGAGGCAGGAGAATTGCCTGAACCCAGGAGGCGGAGGTTGCGGTGAGCCGAGATCGCGCCATTGCACTCCAGCCTGGGTAACAAGAGCGAAACTCCGTCTCAAAAAAAAAAAAAAAAAAGAAATAGCATTATTTAAGTTTATATATGAAGTTGATCACTGAAGATCCCTGAGTTGAGTAATGTGTGTTTGGGGAAGCAGGGATTGGATGGTGGATTTGGTGGAGTGGAGGAGGTTCTCTTCTTAGTGCTATTGTTTTTTCAGTGAAATAAGGACATGATCTAAATGCTGGTGGTTTGAAGAGAATGAGAAGACATGAAATTGAGTCTGGGGATGTAGAATTACAGTCAGGAGATGCTGAGTGCCAGTTTAAGATTGGTGGTCATATTCAACGTCACCAAGTCTATTAATACTTCTTTCTGTATATGGCTCAAATTTAACCCCTCTTCACACCAATTGCTAGCAAACTCAGGCTTATTCCCTTTGAATTTCACCTGGATGGCTGCAGCACCCACCTCTCAAGATTGCTGCCCCAAATGCCATTTTTCTCTGCCTAATATTCAACAGCTGGTTCACAGCGCTTAGAATAAGGCAACAACAGTCTCCAATCTCACCCTGTTGGCCTGTTCCCCCTCACTTGACCACACAACCAAACTGGTACCTCCAAGCTTTCATCATGTCCTCTTCTCAAGTACACTGTTCCCAGCCACACCCCTGCACTCCTCTCTAGGAATCCTGCTTTCTCCTCTACCCAACCAGACCCTGTTCCATCCTGTTTTCTTCCTGCTACCGGTTCAGGCCCATGCCTTGTGTACATTCTCCGAGAGTTATGTACAGATACACCTGCTGACTCTCCTGGATGTAACCTGGGTGAGCCTAGCAGGCAGAGGCCCTGTGCCTTACTTCATCTCTGCATCACTGATGTCTGACACATCAAGGACTGCAAGTTTGCTGAGAGAATGAATCGCCTGTTTAACATGGAAACGTAAGCTCCAAACTGCCTCAGAGCATATGCTGGTGGGTGACAGTCTGCCGAGGTCATGAAAATAGAATATTGAAGATGTCCCACAAGGTAAACAACTTTTCATTATGAAAAACTGGGAGACTTTGACATTTAAATGGTATATTTGCATGATTAATAATCACACTTCCAACAGTGCATCAAGCATCTGAGAATAACATTATTTTGAGTAAAAACAAACTCTTCTGGAGAGACCCCCCCCTCCCCACAAGTCAGGCTGCTCAAATGTCCACCATATCTAGCAATGCTGAGAGATGGAGCTCAGAGGCAACTTCCTCTTCCCTTGAACTCTGGATCAGCCTTTCCAGGTGCTTTAGCTGTTCGGTCAGACATGTTCCTGTCACCTCTGACAGCTGCAGTTGCTCCCTTGTCATGTCACTCTATTTGAATAAAAAAGAAACTAAAAGAGTTTTGGGATGTCAATAAACCACGACCTATTCTCTGTGAAGGGAGTAGATCTGGATCATGTTAGAAACCTCATCTGATTAGTCACTTATTTTTTAGAGGGGAAAAAAATGATCAATTGTACATCCTTCCAGCCTCATTTAGCTTGTACAATCAGCTGGTATCTGCGAATAGACTGTTTGCCTTTGTATTCTATCTTGAACGATTTCCAGTGTCAGTCATCTTTCACCCAGGCTGGAATGCAGTGGTATAATCATAGCTCACTGCAGCCTCAAACTCCTGGGTTCAAGTGATCCTCCCAGCTCAGCCTCCTGAGTAGCTGGGACAACAGGCATGCAGCACTATGCCTGGCTAATGACTTATTGTAAAGATGAGATCTCTTTATGTTGCCCAGGCTGGACTCAAACTCCTGGGCTCAACTGATCCTCCCTTGTCAGCCTCCCAAAGTGCTGGGATTACAGGCATGAGCCACCACACCCAGCCAGTCATTTTTAGAAAATATCATTGTCAAGGGCTGTGAAGTATTCCATCGCATGAATGTATTATAATTGTTTAATCAGACTCCCATCTTCAGATATTTAGTCTGTTTCTACTTTTGTACAGTATAACTAATACTAAACGTTATTTTATACATTAGTTTCAGTGAATATCTGCTAATTTCTTTAGGTCAGAATTGGTAATTCAAAGGGTATGAATATTTTTAAAATATTTGCCAAACTGATAAATGAAAACAGTATGTCATTTTAATTTGCTTCCCCCCCCATTGAAGGGCTTCCTAAAGCCAGTCCAGGAACACAGTTTTTACCTGTCCAGTGGCACATATCTGTGATTAAAACTCTGTTTTTGCATCTTTAACTACTGAAGGAAGAATGGTAAGGTAAAAAGACCTTAGGGTTTGGAGCCAGTTGGATCTGGCTATGAAAAGCAACCCCCCGACTCACTACTGGAATACCCTTGGGTGAGGCATTGACTTCTGGGAGCTTACCTTCCTCATTCATTAATTTTCCTCAAGAAAAATTAATCCCAGATTGGCCGGGCACCGTGGCTCATGCCTATAATCCCAGCACTTTGGGAGGCCAAGGTGGGCAGATCACCTGAAGTTGAGAGTTCGAGACCAGCCTGACCAACATGGAGAAACCCTGCGTCTACTAAAAATACAAAATAAGCCAGGCGTGGTGGCACATGCCTGTAATCCCAGCTACTCAGGAGGCTAAGGCAGGAGAATCACTTAAACCCGGGAGGCGGAGGTTGCGTGAGCAGAGGTCGCACCATTGCATTCCAGCCTGGGCAATAAGAGCAAAACTCCATCTCAAAAAAAAATAAATAAATAAAAGAAAAGAAAATAGAAAAATTAATCTCAGAAGGGAGCTCTGGGTAAACCCAAAGCTCAGACAAAATTTGCTCTGACAGAAGCTGCTGTCACCTTAATGGTCTTAACTATACATCAGCAATTACAGGTCTTACTCAGTTCTTAAGAATATTTCAGTTCTATTATTCATTTATTTCATAGGCAGAAACTCAAAATCACTTGGCTTTCTGTAACAATGATATGATTAAAGTTTAAGAAAAGGTCTAATTTTAGCTAATAATTTGTTGGTCATCACAACATCATAGGATAAACTTTTCCCAGCCATTCTCTCAATCTTTAATTCTTACATAAATGACAAACGTATACTTTCTTCTCACCTGTGGGCTAGTAGTTATAGATGTTTTCATCACAGGTTCAATATTGTGAGAAACAGACACTAGAGTCTGAGGAAGATACAGGGGAAGGGAAGTTAAATCCGTAAATGCTCCTGAGTCTTCAGACAACCATTGCTGAAGTTGATCTTCAAACCTGAAACAATATATGATCATAAATTTAAAAATATTTGAGCATTAGGAAGTTAACAATTGTTCATTAATCTTCTATATATACTTAAAAACTTTTTGAGCCTCTGCTTTTTAATTTAATTTTATTAATTTATTAATTAATTTATTTTTTCAGCCGGAGTCTCACTTTGTTGCCCAGGCTGGAGTGCAGTGGGGTGATATCGGGTCCATGCAACCTCTGCCTCCCGGGTTCAAGTGATTGTCCTGCCTCAGCCTCCTGAGTAACTGGGATTACAGGCACATCCTGCCATGCCCAGCTAATTTTTTGTACTTTTAGTAGAGATAGGGTTTTACCATATTGCCCAAGCTGGTCTTGAACTCCTGACCTCAGGTGATCTGTCCACCTCAGCCTTCCAAAGTGCTGCGATTATAGGCGTGAGCCACTGTGCCCAGCCAATTTTATTATTATTATTTTTGAAAAGGTCTTGCTCTGTTGTCCAGGCTGGAATGCAGTATCACGATCTTGGCTTACTGCAACCTTGACCTCCCAAGTTCAAATGATCTTTCCACCTCAGCCCCCCAAGTAGTTGGGACTACAGGTGGACACCACCACACCCAGCTAATTTTTGTGGAGACCGGGTTTTGCTGTGTTGCCAGGCTGGTCTCCAACTCCTGTGGTCAAGTGATCTGCCCACCTAGACCTCCCAAAGTGCTGGGATCAGAGGCATGAGCCACCTGCCCACCTCAGTCTCCCAAAGTGCTGGGATTATAGGCATGAGCCACCACACCCAGCCTTAAGCCTTTGCTTTTTACTAAGAATGTAAGAGATGACATCAACTGAGGAGTAGAAATGTACTTATTGAAAATTTAATAACTTCCTATGATAAAGTTTAATTTAAAAAAAGAACTAGGCTGGGCGCAATGGCTCACGCCTGTAATCTCAGCACATTGGGAAGCCAAGGCAGGCAGATCACCTGAGGTCAGGAGTTTGAAACCAGCCTGACCAACATGGTGAAGCCCCATCTACACTAAAAATACAAAAATTAGCCGGGTGTGATGGCAGGTCCCTGTAATCCCAGCTACTCAGGAGGCTGAGGCAGGAGAATTGCTTGAACATGGGAGCCGGAGGTTGCAGTGAACCAAAACTACACCATTGCACTCCAGCCAGGGCAATGAGAGCAAAACTCCATCTCAAAAAAACAAAAAACTTCCCTTTAATTTATAAATCCAATTTATATTTAATGAAAATGGTGGCGTTAATCCAAAAACAACTGCTTCTGTGTGTTACTTAACATTATTTTTAATTGTCTTGTTTGGCTTATCTTCTTTATTTACTTGGTTTTATGCATCTGTAATTCTTCTGACATTTTCCAAATGTGTGGATTGCTGCTTATAGGTTACAATTAACTCAAAATAATATCCCACTGCCACCTAACGTACTCCAGAGCTGTCTACTTTCATATACCGGTCTTTTCAAGAAAAATAATCTTGGCCAGGTACAGTGGCTCATGCCTATAATCCCAGCACTTTAGGAAGCTGAGGCGTGTGGATCAGGAGTTCAAGACCAGCCTGGCCAACATGGTGAAACCCCATCTCTACTAAAAATACAAAAATTAGCCAGGCATGGTAGCAGGTACCTGTAGTCCCAGCTACTTGGGAGGCTGAGGCAGGAGAATCACTTGAACCTGGGAGGCGGAGGTTGTAGTAAGCCGAGATTATGCCACTGCACTCTAGCCTGGGCAACAGAGCAAGACTCTAATTAAAAAAGAAAGAAAGAAAGAAAGAAAGAAAAGATGTCATCCAAAACCACTTATAGACACTGATTCTAGAAATTGGACATTCATTCATTCTTCCAACACATATTTATCAAGCCTCCTCCAAATGCTAGGCATCATCCTAGGTACAAGGAATATTGCACTGAAACAAAAGAGAAGCCCTGCCCTAAGCAATTTATCCTTTAGTGAGGGGAGACAGACAAGGAACACATAACAAGAGAACTGGTCTGAGGAAGAGAAAGACAAAGCCAGGCCATGGAAACAGGAAGGTCGGGGATGGGTAAGGAGGGACTAATAGAAGCAGACATTTGAGCAGAGATCTGAAGTGCGTATGAGATCAGCCATGAGGATGCTGGGGAGAATGGAGGGGCTGGATAACCACAGACAAAAGGAACAGCAAACTCAAAGGACCAACTGTGTGCTGCTCACCATGTTCAAGGATGGAGCAGAGATCAGAGAGGAAATGTGGGACAGATCACTCAGGGCCCTGGCCACGCTTGTAAAATCTGCCTTTGATTCCAGGTGAAAGAAGGAAACCACTGAGAGGCTGTGAGCAAGCAAGTGACACAACCTCCATCTTAACTCACCTGAAAGGCACCCACCAGGTCTACCAAGACTAAACTACAGCCTACTATAATAATCCAGAACGAAGATAATAGTGGCTTGAGCCAAGTGGTAGCCATGGAAGCCATAACAACTGGTCCAATTGTGAACACATTTTTAATAGAGCCAACAGGATATGTGAGTGGGATGATGTGAGAGGATGATTCCAAGGCACCTGATCTAGACAGCTGGAAGGATGGAGCCGCCATCAACAGAGATGACCACCAAAGGAAAGGGTTGGTTAGAAGAAAGTCAGGAACTGGATTTGGGATATGTTAACTTTGCAGTGGCTACCAGACATCCAGTAGATGTCTAATGAACATTTCAAAGAAGCAGTAGGATGTTCAAGTCTGGAGTTCACAGGTTTGAGATAGAAATTTGGAGTTGTCAGAATATTGATGTTATTTAAAAATCCATGGACCTGGATGAAATCTCTGAGGAATAGGTACAGATGATGCAGAGGAGAAGTTGAGAGAATGAATCCAGGGGGCAGCTGTGGGATAAGGAGGAACCACCCATAAGCAGGGTAGGAGGGGGCATACAGACATCTTAGGAGCAAGGAGGGGAGGATCAAGTATGGGATGCTGCCAGGGACTGGAGTTCACGGTCACGTTCAGCCCTGAGCTGGCTGCAGGAGACTGGGAAAGAAGCCTGAAGAAGTGAGTGTCACAAGCGTTTTTGAGTTTTACTATTATAAGGGCAGAAACATGGAGTGGTGGCTGAAGAGGGAAATGGGCCCAAGATAGGGAGAAATGCCAGCATGTTTCATGCCTGTGTATTGCTGATGGGTACCATTAGTATGGGGAGGGATGGTAACACAAGAGGGATCTCATGGAATGAATGTCCTTGGGTGAGCAGGAGATGATATCCCAGCCCAGGGAAGGACTAATTTTGACTAAGTGCTGATGGTTCCTTTCTAGCAACAAGAGGGCTTAGGAAGGGGGTACAGGGAAGATGCTGGATGTGGCTGGGAGGGAAGGGAAGGCAGAGGATAACCTGTGGAAGGTCCCTCGTTCCTGGTTCTACTTCTCAGTAAAATGGTAAACATGGCCATCAGATGAAAGCAAAGGTATGCATGGGAGGGGGAGGGATGTGGGCAATGCAGAGAGGGGCAGCCCAGCTGCTGCCTAGTCACAGCACGGGACGATCCACCCAAGGGCAGGGTGCCTGTGGCCAGCCATACTGTTCAGCACTCACCATCTTCTGAGTAGACTTAGCCACATGAATTTCCCACAAAAACTTAACACTGACTTTCAATAATAAATAATAAATGAAATTCACTTCAATATAAAACAGTTAAAAACATACTATCTATGGTACTGCTTCTGTCTTCAAAGAGCTTTTAAACAGTCACACCACTACAACTATTGCTAATAAGCCACCTGCCCTTCCCCATCCTGGTTGTCTTGTATCATCAATCAAGCAATAGCCAGTCTCCCCTCGCAGCATAAAGTGGACTAAACAATACACATGAATTCAAAGGAAGTGGACTTCACCTCTTGTTCTCCTCTTTCTCCAGCAGCAGACTGCTTGACAAACACTGTGTCAGCCGCTCCTCAGCAGAAGCTCCTCGCATCAGATCCTCTGTGCTGGGAATCCTCCCTTCTCGACCACACTCTGTGCTCCTCTTCCAGTTACCGTCCATGTGAAGCAATGGTATGGGAAAATTGTTTGCAGAAGCATGAAAAGTCTTTATTCCCAAACTGTAAGTACATGATTTGAAATGCTTATGGTCAAGAGAACATACTTCTACAGCATCATGTAAAGCATATAGATACAATTGCACATGTGCGTTAACATGTAAGAACATGTGCCTCAGACACGTGCCCTCCTGGGACAGCTCATGCTGGCCTGGCCTGCTTCCAAGCTTCCCTCAAGTCAGGGAGTAGGGCAAAGAGGGAAGGCAGCCCCTGCATCGTAGTGACCCTCATGCACAGAGGCATCGAGACTGCCTGTTCCTCTTGGAAGCTTCTGCTCTCACAAGGCAGCTTTTGGAGCTTCTCTGCTTCATGTCTTCCTTCCCACCCCAGGGTTCCAGATTCTGTTTTTCCCTAATATTGGCAAGGTCCTTATTTTTTATATTTAGCTTTGGAAGTAATTTTACAAATGATGAGAGAAGGCATCTAACATTTTTCTCTAAATATATGCCAGTGTTTGTCCTTTCCCCACTAATTTCAATAATTTGGCATAACACTTTCGTCACATATGGTTCTATTTCTTGACTCTTTATTCTGATCCATTCATCTATTCTGGCTTCCCCATGTACTTTTAAGTACTGGAGCTTTTTCTGTATGTTTTGGTATCAGGCCAAGCAAACCTTGTTAGGCTTATTTAAAACTTTCTTAGCAATTGCTGAATATTTTCTTATCCTGATGAATTTTAGAACTTATCAATACCAGAACTGACATCTTCACAGCATCGTATCCTCCTATAAGCAACCCAGTCTGAACTTCAATGGCTCAGGTTTCCTTTGCACATGCAGGCCCTGAGAAACACATGTTGTGAATGAGGCTTTTTTTTGCCTATATCCCACATCCCTGTGCTGGTCAGAATTTCCAAGACAATAGTGAATAGTAGCCAGGACAACTGGCTGGTTCTGACTCCGGTGTTCCTAATGTTCTACCAACAAGCACGTTCCCACCCCCCACCTTTTGGTAGTTTTATGTTAGGTAGCCTTATCAGGTTAAGACTTTTTTTTTTTACCCAAGCTAAAGAAATTACCCAAAGTAAAGAAATTTTATTGGGAATGGGTATAAGTTTTAAGAAATGTATTTCAACACCTGCTACAATGGCCACTTATTTTTCTATTATGGCAACAAATTACATTACTAAATTTTCACTGTTATTGTTTACCCTGGGAGAAAGCATACTTGTGAACTTTTTAGGTACTGTGCTTTGGAACCAGATTTGGAAGTGAGATGAAATGTCAGCTGTATTCTCCTGGTTACGTTGATTTCAGGGTCAGGTTTGCCCAATAAATGAAATGAAATGCTTCTAACTTTGCTCTAGAAGAGTTTCTACTGCATGGGAATGATCTGTTCCTTGAGGGTTTGACACAATCTGCTCACAATAGACTGGATTTGGCATGTAGGATGTTCATTTCTGTGTACTTTGGAAGAAAAATACAGTTTAGCAAGCAACAGAAACATACTGAACATGAATCTCACCGTCCGTCTGTCAGCTGTAGCTCCTTCTGTGTCTGCAATCTGGCTTGTTCCCAGGACAAAGGAACATCATATTTTTTCAAATGGTTTTTAAAAAAATATATACATATCTGACCATCTTCACTCAGTGCCTCTGAGAAAACAATACAAAAACAGATAGAGATCAGTCTGGGCAACACAGCAAGCCCGTCTCAAAAAACAAAAAGAAAACCAGGTAAAAATAACATATAAAGAGCAGCAGGTGGCCATTTGGCATGTGCTTAAATTCACTGATTTAAGGGCAAGTCCTTCGATTAATTAAAGTCACACAATTATGTGACTTCCATACTTTGATTAAATAGGCTCCCAGTGTCCATGCATCACTCAAAGTCCAGACAGGCTGACATCCAGACTGACAGGGCCAGTAATGACTACTCAAAAGCCACAGAATCCTCTCTAAGAGCCAGCCTAGGAAGCCTGTTTCAGGGAGGTGAGTTCAGGCTCTATTGGAATCTTCCTAGCTTGTTTTCAATGTTTCTAAGTCACTGACTTGAAGGAGGAAGTCCTAAGGAAAAGAAGGGTAGGGATTCGAGAGAAAAGAAGCAACATCAAGTAAACATCTTCCTTTGCAGAAACTGTACCAGAAAGTCTTGTGAGGCGCTGATCGCACTGCACCAAGGTCTAACTACCTGATGTAACAGGAAGCCGGGGGGGTGTCCAGTCTCTCAGCTTGTGGTTGATACACAAGGCGATGAGATCATCCCATGGGATCTCCATGACGGAGGGGCCTGCCCCATGGACTGCGGAGGGGCTCTTGCTCTTCCACCTACGGTAGGTTCTGCGGAGCAGGTTCTCCACCTGGGACTGGAGGACAGGCTGCGTCTGGCATGAGCTGGGGATCTGAGAGGCATACTGCGCAACCATGGAGCACACGGGGAGCCAGGGGGCTGGGGAGAAAGTGCCTCATTAGTTACAGGTTTGGCCAAAGTACACGGGAAAATGTATATGAAAATATTTTTAACTCTATTTTCTTAGGAGAAGGCAACTGTGAAGTGGAGAAGTCTGCTTTCTAAACACAGCGGAACCACAGTTGTTGAGGGGAAGAGCAGCTTGCTCCCAGGGTTTAGGTGAGGGTTGCAGACAGTCCCCCTAAATAGTGTTGACAGCAAAGGTACACCATACCCAGGAACTCTGCTTGTGCCTAGGAATCTGTATTTTAACAAGCACCCAGGTAAATCTGGTATAAGTTGTCTTAGCTTATTTTGGTGAACCCCAACCTAGTCAGAACACTAAGGGCTTGTGGTGAGTGGTTCACTTCCCTTTGGATTCCTTCAATGAGCATGGGTTAGAGGTACTACAGACCACACCCCACAATTTAGAAGGGCACCTGAGGCCCAAAGGTGAGTGTCTATGCTAATGCCATGACTTGCACCAAATAAGCAGCTCATTCCCTTCTGACAGTGTCTGCATGGGAAGGAGCAGCCCCATGCCACACTGGACTTGAGCCAGCCAGATGGCCTACAGGATCTGTGTCAAAACAGCTCAGAGACCTCAGCCAGGAACGGGGGCACAGCCAGAGCCACAGAACAAGACTTCTTTGACAAAGAAGTAACATTAAATCGGCACTGAGTATCATGGCTGTGGCTTGGGGACAGGGCTACATGGTCCCCATGCTCTTTGCCCCTGGCTTGTCTGTTTTGAAAACAGGGACCATGTGAGGCAGGCAGGACAGGATCAGGGTTGTACCACCTGCCACTTTCCTCCTGAGGCAAGTGAACTCCCATGGACTGTTCTGTCGGTCAGGAAAGGCCAACAGCCCCCACTTCACAAAACCCAGCTTGTTCTGACCCATGAACCCAAAGGAAGGTGCAGGCAAGCACACTGTAGGGATACCCCATGTGCCCAGTGGAGGTGGATGTGCAGCCCTCACACTGGTGCCCAACATCTGCCGGATGGTCACTACAGTGAGAAGGAAGCCTGAGGCTCAGCTGCAGCCACTCACCGCTCCTCCCAGCACAAGCACTTACCCCCCAGGGGCGGAAGGTCCATCTGCGGAAGCTGGAACCCGAGCACAGCCTGCTTCAGCCAGGCCAGGTGCTCTGGGGCATTCCAGTGCAGGTGAGGAAGCAGCCGGCTGCCCCCCGACTCAGCAAACTCAGTGACAGGCCAGGACAGGTCACACAGCTGTTCAGAGGACACCACGGAAGCCAGGAACTGCAGCACACTGTTAAACAGCTCAATGATGGCGCCAGGCTCCTGCGAAGGAAGGCCACCCAGCCGCCTCTCTCTTCTGTCATGGAAAAAGCGGCCACTAAACTCACGGCCAATCCCATCTTCGACGTACTGAATGAGAGTCTGGCAGCAAAGGTCAAGGGAATGGGGGCAATGGGAAACCAGCCACTGCACCGCTTGCAAAACCTGAGAGCAAAGACATTCAGAAGAGACTTGAACATCCCACTGTTTTTTCAAAAACAGCTTTCTGAAACAGCTTGGTCCCCCAAGGCTGCCCACAGCAGGTAACACCAGAGTAACAGGCCCTCAACTGCAGTAGAAAGGGGAACAGAAGTGTCCTTTGCAGTTGAGTTTAGCCTTCTAGGGCTCTGGAGACATGTCCAGCAGAGGAACTAATGAGAGGCCCCCGGATCCCATCTGGCCTGAGGAGGAATGTGACCTGCATGCTCGCCCCCCTGGAAGGGCCCAGGCCCTCAGGAAACCAGCCCTGAATATCCCCTTTGCCATGCACAGAAATGGAAGTCACATCTTCTGATTTTTGGAAGGACTAACAGCTTCACTATGTGCCAAGATGCCGTCAAACCATATAGTTATCTACTTCCTGTAGTTTTTTTTAATTCCTGGCACCTGTTTCTCTAAATTGTTAGCAAAAACTCCCGCTGCCTTTCTTTTTTTCTTTTGAGAAGGGGGTCTCCCTATGTTGCCCAGGCTAGTCTCCAACTCTTGGGCTCAAGCAGTCCTCTTGCTTCAACCTCCCAAGCAGCTGACATTACAGGTGTGACGAGACACCATGCCCAGCTTCAGACTTCCTTTTCAAAGGAAACATCAGATAACATTATTTCTTAATATATTCAGAGGACAATCACCTAGAAAAATAATTTCTATATCTGACCTTCAAATATAAGATATGTTCATATTTTAAGTTCATAGAAACAAAAACACTAAAAAATTTTACATGATCAATTTAATTTGCAGGTAGCAGGACTGGTCAAATTTTATCTTTTGATTTCTGCTTATGTTTTTAGAAAGTTATCTATAAAACCCACACCTGCTGCCAGGCGCAGTGGCATACCACGGTAGTCCCATATACTTGGGAGGCTGAAGTGGGAAGACTGCGTGAGCCCAGTAGTTTGAGGCTGCAGGGAGCTACCATGCCACACTGGGTGACAGAATAAAACTCTGTCTTAAGAAAAAAAAAAAACTCGGCTGGGCGCGGTGGCTCACGCCTGTAATCCCAGCACTTTGGGAGGCCGAGGCGGGTGGATCACAAGGTCAAGAGATCGAGACCATCCTGGTCAGCATGGTGAAACCCCGTCTCTACTAAAAAAATACAAAAAATTAGCTGGGCATGGTGGCGCGTGCCTGTAATCCCAGCTACTCAGGAGGCTGAGGCAGGAGAATTGCCTGAACCCAGGAGGCGGAGGTTGCGGTGAGCCGAGATCGCGCCATTGCACTCTAGCCTGGGTAACAAGAGCGAAACTCTGTCTCAAAAAAAAAAAAAAAAAAAAAAACTCAAATGCTAATATACACTGAATTCAAGATACAGCAAAAGGGGAAAAATCAAAATACCCTGACGCACCATTAAAAATGATGAAAGCTTACCTTAGTTGAACCTTGTAGATCATTAATGGAATCAGGGATCTCCATAACAGTGTAATCTGAAATCAGTTTAGCTGAAACCAAGTCCTGAAGCATCAGACCTTTAACAGAAAGAGATGAAGGTCACACGCATTCTGCTCTCAGCACACCTGCTAACACAACTCACTGTGCTGACCCACCCCAGTCCTGCAGTGGACAGTCCCATAAGGGTTGCTGTCTCAGTGATTCCTGACCCCACACTACTGGACCATCCTCAGACCAAGCGTCCACCCCTTTATTAAACAATGCTGGTTCATAAACAAGACTTCCTTCACAAACCATCCTCTACTTCCTTCTCAACGGCGTCCCCTCCTGAGCTGGGCACAAGAACCACCAGCGGAAGTGCAGGCTGGAAGGGCTTGGCCTGCAGGAGCTGCTTGAGCTGCAGCAAGGCCGACAGCCAGTACACATCCTCCTCTGCCATGTCCTCACTCTTCACTTTGGGGGGAAGCAGCAGCATGAGCCCACTGGCTCCCAGGAGGTCCTTCTGTGTCTCCACAGCATCAATGGCGCCATCACTGAGGGCGCCATGGGTCACCTGCAAGTGCATCAAGATCATCAGGATAGATGCACCACAGGACACATCAGAAGTGACTCATCTGCCCCAGGGCAAGTGCAGCCAAAGCTCTCCATGCGCTAAACACTGACTGCACTCCAGAAAGGCTTCCAAGGGCACAGCTGGGCATACCCTACAGTTATCTTACTTCCTGTAGTAGTTATTTTCATTCCCGGCACCTCTTTCCCTAAATCCAATTGTTAGCAAAGACCCCTCCAACCTTTTTTTTTTTGAGAAGGGGGTCTTTTTATGTTGCCCAGGCTGGTCTTCAACTCCTACGCTCAAGCAGTCCTCCTGCTTCAGCCTCCTGAGTAGCTGAGATTACAGGTTTGAGGAGCCAGTATGCCCAGCTTCAGACTTCCTTTTTAAAAGAAATATCAAATAACATTCTTTCTTCATATATCCAGAGGACAATCACCCTAGAAGAATAATTTCTATATCTGACCTTCAGATAGAAAACATACTCATATTTTTTTTCTTTTGAGACAATGTCTCACTCTGTCGCCCAGGCTGAATTGCAGTGGCATAATCTCAGCTCACTGCAAACTCTGCCTCCCCGATTCAAGCAATTCTGCCTCAGACTCCCGAGTAGCTGGAACTACAGGTGCCCACAACCATGCCCAACTAATTTTTGTATTTTTTTTTTTTTTTTTTTTTGAGACGGAGTTTCACTCACGTTACCCAGGCTGGGAGTGCAATGGCGCGATCTCGGCTCACTGCAACCTCCGCCTCCTGGGTTCAGGCAATTCTCCTGCCTCAACCTCCTGAGTAGCTGGGATTACAGGCACGCGCCACCATGCCCAGCTAATGTTTTGTATTTTTAGTAGAGACGGGGTTTCACCATGTTGACCAGGATGGTCTCGATCTCTTGACCTCGTGATCCACCCGCCTCGGCCTCCCAAAGTGCTGGGATTACAGGCTTGAGCCACCGCGCCCGGCCTAATTTTTGTATTTTTAATGGAGATGGGGTTTCACCATGTTGGCCAGGCTGGCCTTGAACACCTGACCTCAAGTGATCAGCCCGCCTTGGCCTACCAAAGTGTTGGGATTACGGGCGTGAGCCACTGCGCCTGCCCATGTTCATGTTTTAAATTCGTAGAAACAAAAACAACATAATTAATGCAACAGTTAGTGTAAAAAATGGCCAGTTCAACAGGTAATTTAGTCTCCAGCTAGAATTGTGTTTGACTATATTACTAAAATTTTAATTAACCTGAAACAGGTATAAAAACAGTTAAAACTAGACACAGTGGCTCATGCCTGTCATCCCAGCACATAAGGAGGCCAAGGCAGGAGAACTGTTTGAGCCAGGAGTTCAAGACCAGCCTGGGCAACATAGCAAGACCCCATCTCTATAAAAATAAACAAAAGTTTAAGCCCATAATAACATAAAGAGGGAAGGCAGGCCAGCAGCAGATCAGGGATTCTGATACACTTCTAGAAAGCAGCAAGTAGATGAGTCCAATCCCTGGGTTAGGGAAGCAGAGGAAGCCAGACCTAAAGGCTGCAGGTGTGGGTGTGGAGGGAGCCAGGATGACTGAGCCTGCAAAAGCCCCGTATATCCAGGCTCTGCAGACACCAGGAGCCAAAGGCGAAGTTCAGAGTCTGGCCCTATAGGCACTCACCACTGCAGGCAACCTTATGCACAACCAGTCCCCCTGGGCCCCTGAACAGGAGTCCTGAGAGCATCCAGATGCAGGGGCGTGATCAGGCACAGTGGAAGGGACTCAGTGTCAAACCACTCCCGACCCTACCCTGAGAATACCAGCAGCTCTCCAGGAAGCAGAAGGCACAAGTTCTTTCCAGAAAAACTGAACAGTCTAGGGAACAGATATTCAGATCCAGACATTTGGGAGTCCCTCCAAAAAGGCTGGCTTGCCATTTAGCTACCTCCCACCCCACCCCAAACACAGAACTTCTTGGCCAGCCTTGTAGGGCCTCACTCAGTTATAGACAGACAGCCTTGGGTAAGGCATCTGAGGAGGGCCTCCAACATAAAAGAGATAAACTAAAATAACATAAGAGGGAGGGAAAAAAAGGAACCAGATAATGCATGAACTGAAGAAAACTTACACCCCCAAAACCCTAATTTCCTCGGAAAGATATGATGCATCCAAAAAATAAGATGCTATGAAAAAGTCAACAAAAGAAGAGGAAATAATATATATGGAAGAAAAAAATCAGTAAAACAACTGGAAAACAAAGTCAAGGAAATCTTCCAAAACACAGTAGGAAGAGATAAGATTGAAAATAGGATAGAAAGGATAAGAAACTCAAAGGATCAAATGATGAGATCTAACATCTATCTAACAGAGGCTCAAGAGAGAAAAGAAAATAGAGATTGGGCATGGTGGCTCACACCTGTAATCCCAGCACTCTGGGAGGCCAAGGCAGGCAGATCCCACGAGGTCAGGAAATCAAGACCACCCTGGGCAACATGGTGAAACCCCGTCTCTACTAAAAATACAAAAATTAGCCAGGCATGGTGGCGTATACCTGTAGTCCCAGCAATTTGGGAAGCTGAGGCAGGAGAATCGGTTGAACTCAGGAGGTAGAGGTTGCAGTGAGCCAAAATTGCGCGACTGCACTCCAGCCTAGGCAACAAGAGCGAGACTCCATCTCGAAAAAATAAAGTCAGTGTCATAAAAACATGACTGCTAAGCCCTGCACAGTGAGTGAAGGAAGTGCGGTGCCAGGCATAACAAAGTGAATTTTTAGGATGCCATGAACAGAGAAAAAAGGCTTCTGGAGAGAGAGAAAACCAGGGCACACAGAAAGGAACAGGAACAGTCTCAGAGTCTACCTCAACAGCAACAGTGGATGCTGGGTGACAGTGGAGCAAAACTGAAAGGAAAATAATTTTCTTCTTTTTTTGAGACAGGGTCTCCCTCTGTAATCAAGGCTGGAGTGCAGCAGTGCGATCACGGCTCACTGTAGCCTCGAACTCCTGGGTTCAAGCAGCCTTCCCACCTCAGCTTCCCAAGCTGCGAGAACTACAGGCACAGCTAATTTTGGGGATTTTTTGTTGTTGTTGTTTGTTTTTTGAGACAGAGTCTCGCTCTGTTGCCTAGGCTGGAGTGCAACGGCCCTATCTCAGCTCACTGCAACCTCCACCTCCCGAATTCAAGCAATTCTCCTGCCTCAGCAGAATTGAGTAGCTGGGACTATAAGCACGCACCACCACGCCCAGCTAATTTTTGTATTTTTAGTAGACAGGGGGTTTCACCATGTTGGTCAGGCTGGTCTCAAACTCCTGACCTCGTGATCTACCCACCTCAGCCTCCTAGAGTGCTGGGATTACAGGCGTGGGCCACCGCGCCAGGCCAATTTTTTATTTTTTATACAGGGTTTCAATTCACCACATTGCCCAAGCTGGTCTCAAACTCCTGTACCCAAAACAATCTGCTTACCTTGGCTTCCCAGAGTGCTGGGATTACAGGTGTAACCCACATGTACAGCCAGGAAAGTAATTTTCTACCTGTAATTTTACAAACGTAGCTAAACTATGAAGCAAATGTGAGAATAAATCTTTTTTTCTTTCCCCCAGCCTAAGATATTTTGTCAATAAAATCATTTCTGCTGGGTGCAATGGCTCACGCCTGTAATCCCAGCACTTCGGGAGGCCAAGGTGGACGGATCACAAGGTCAGGAGATCGAGACCATTTTGGCTAACACAATGAAACCCTGTCTCTACTAAAAATACAAAAAATTAGCCGGGTGTGGTGGCACACACCTATAGTCCCAGCTACTCAAGAGGCTGAGGCAGGAGAATCGCTTGAATCCAGGAGGCAGAAGTGGCAGTGAGCCAAGATCACACCTGCACTCTAGCCTGGGCGACAGAGCAAGACTCTGTCTCGAAAAAAAATTATAATAATAAATTATTTATATAAGGGAAAGGACTCAGAAAATTCCCCTCCCATGACATGTACCATCCAACAAGGAGCTGAACCAAGAAAAAATACCACAGCTGCTGCTAATGGCAACACTGAGCAAGCACCTGGCCTATGCCAGGCATTGTCCTATGCAGTCTGCATGTGCAGACTCACTCCATCCTCAAGAGCCAGATGAGCATCTCCAGCACAAAGCACCTACACAGGCTTGGGCAATTTCTTTTGGCTTTGCTGAGTAAAATAGGACAATGAGTAGAGTATCCATACATAGGTGGCAGAGATGTTAGAGAACTTGCCCAAGGTCACAGAGCTTCCAGGTGGAGGAGCAGGGACATGTGCTTGCAATGATGGCATGAAGGCACGTGCTGCCTGGATGTAGACCAGCTCACAGATGAGCATTCCAGGACAGAGGGAATATGGATAGATCAGAATATGGAAGTGACAGAACATTTGGAAAAGTCTACCGAGATATATACAGCAACCCCCCACCCCGCCCAGTAAAAATTAAATCGATACAGAGAACTATGTTAAGTGAGACAATAAGGCAACTCCAGTTCTTGCAGGAAAAAATAATTGTGGTCATACAAAGAACACTAGAGTCGCAGAGCCCATTCACTGGAGTGGACTCACAAAGTGAAAGTGTAGCCATCCTGGGAAGACGTGGAAGGCTGAGTGGGATCATGGCACAGGCGGCCACTCTGCACCTAGTGTGGTACGCAGCAGCCAAGAAGGCCCCCCAACTCCACCTAGTGTTCATGCCCAGATGTGATCTCCTGCCCTGTGAGCTGGGCCTAGCCACTCACTTCTAACAGACAGAAGCCAACAAAAGGAACAGGTTGTCACTTCTAAGTTTAGGTTATCAAGGCACTCAGACTTCCATCTTGGCTGGCCTCTTGCTCACTCTGATGAAAGCCAGCTGCCATGCTGTCAGCTGGGGAGAGGCCCATGTGGCAGGAAGTGAGGAAGTCTCTGGCCACAGCCTGCAAGAAGTGAATCCTGATGACAGCTCACTAGAATGAGCTGGGAAGTAGATACCCTTCAATCAAGCTTTCAGATGAGACCATAATCCCACCTGTGAGAAACCTTGAGCCAGAGGACCCAAGTTAAGCTACACCTGGATTCCTGACCCACAGAAATTTGATAACAGATGTCATTTTAAGCTGCTATGTTGGGGGTAATTTGTGATTTAGGAATAGGTAACTAACACATTTGTATTAATGGGAAGTCAGCAGAGAACACTGAAATGGATAAACTGAGAAACGGCTGTGTTAAGTGTGTGATCTGGAAACATGAGAAAAATGAGGCCCTGAAGAAAGGAGTAGAGAGGAGGGAGGAGCTACTATGTCTCATTTTAAATCATGTTGCGTTATTTGACTTCTTTTTAAGTACATGGAAGCATTACTTTAATTAAAAATGAAAATGAAGGTAACAGGAACAGTAAACTAATTTCCAGGAGATGAAATATGACTTTGTAATCATAGGAAAAGGGAAGAATGTGCACCAAGAAGTTATTGTCACCTCAAAACAGCAAGAGCATGGATGGCTGTTATCATCATCTTTACACTTCTTTTACATTTCCTCATTTTTTAAAAGTTTTGTATACGGATTACATTTAGGAAATTCAATATATAGTATTAAAATAGAAAAATTAAAGAAGCAGGCTGGGTGCAGTACCCACTGCTAAATTTGACTGGCTTAAAAAAATAATTTTTAAAAAGACACTAGAAATGACAGACATAATACCTGCTTCTTAGCCTCCCACAGTCTTTCAAAATGTTAGGGAATAAATAGTATTTGCATGATTCCAATGATATCTTGGAGTAAGTGAAAGTAATGAAAACATAGAAGTAAACACAAAGTAATTATAATTCACCTTTATACACACGTTTACAGAAATCATCTGATCCCCTTTGCCGCTAAGCGAGTTGAAAAGCGAAAGCGTCTGAATCCCACCAGCATCGCTGCACATGTCATCCATTGAGCCATCATCTCCCATGAACTTTACTTTCAACCAATTTGCCAGAATTCTATAGATTAAAAAAAAAACACACACACTCTTGAAGAATCCAATTCTAAATTTGAATTATAAAGACTTCCAGGAAAAGAAGAAAGAGAAATATCACACAGATCTAGGTCCAAAGTTACCAAATCTCACAATGAAGCTGACCTGCACAAAACAGGCTGTCATTTTAAAATGAAGCAATGATCTTTACTTGTTCTTTTTTTTTCCCCCAGATAGGGTCTCACTGTCACCCAGGGTAGAGTGCGGTGGTACAAACTCGGCTCACTGTAGCAAGCAAACCTCCTGCCTCAGCCTTCTCAGTAGCCGGGACTACAGGCACAGGCCACCATCCTCTGCTAAGTTTTGTTAGCACAACATAGATGTTGCTCACGCTGGCTTCAAACTCCTGGGCTCGAGCAATCCTTCCACAGCCTCCCCAGTCGCTGAGATGACAGCTGTGACCCACTGCACCTGGCTTCTACTTGTTTTTAATTGAGCAGGAGGGAGCACTCATAGAACTGGCTCATTCTAATGTGACTTAAGATTCTGAAGCATTAAGATTTTCAGCAATGGAAAACATCCCTAGAGTTTGAAATACATATTTTTTATAGATCAAATTTCTCGTATCTGAGACCTTAAGAATTCCTAAGTGATACATGAACTTAGCAAATCACAAGACAGCTATTTTAAGAAATGAATCCTCAGCTGGGCGTGGTGGCTCACACCTGTAATCCCAGCACTTTGGAAGGCCAAGGCAGGTGGATTGCTTGAGCCAGGAGTTCAAGACCAGCCTGGGCAACACGGCAAAACCCTGTCTTTACAAAAAAAAAAAAAAATTACAAAACCTAGCCCGGCATGGTGGTACATGCCTATAGTCTCTGCTACTCAGGAAGACCACTTGAGCCTAGGAGGTCAGGTTGCAGGGAGCCAAGATCGCATCACTGCACTCCAGCCTGGGGGATAGAGTAAGACCTTGTCTCAAAATTAAAAAAAAAAAAAAAATAGGAAAAATGAATCACCATTTAAATATTTTTAAAATGCCACAACATTCTTCTTTGTTCAGCTGTCCTATGAGATGAACATCATGACTTTCTCTTTCTTTTTCCTTACTGCATGTGTTCCAAGCTTACCTGGGTTTTTTTTTTTTTTTTAAGTGAAAAAGTATTCTGGAATTAGATAATGGAGTTTAAAAAGAAATGTGTTCAGAGAACTTCGAACCCTCATATATTGCTGGTAGGAATGTTAAAGATGCAGCCACCACAGAAAGGTTTGGCAATTCCTCAAAGACTTAAACATATAGTTACCATACAATTAGCAATCCCACTCCTAGCTATATAACCAAGAGAATTATTAATCACATGTCCACACAAATACTTACACGAGTATTCATAGCAGTCTTTTCACAGTAGCCAAAAAGTAGAAACCACCCAAATGCCTATCAACCGATAAATGGATAAATAAGGTATACTCACACAATGGAGTATTATTCAGCCACAGAAAAGAAGGAAGCACTAACATATGCTTCAACATGGAAAAGTCTAGAAAATATCCCAGAAGGGAAAGGTGAGATTCACAAAAGGCTACATATTATATGATTCCATTTATGTAAGACATCTAGAATAGGCAAATTTATGGAAACAGAAAGCAGATCAGTGGTTTCAGGCTGGGTACGGTGGCTCACATCTGCAATCCCAGCACTCTGGGAGGCCGAGGCAGGCAGATCACCTCAGGTGAGGAGTTCAAGACCTGCCTGGCCAACAGGGTGAAACCCCATCTCTACTAAAAATACAAAAATTAGGCTGGGTGGTGTGCACCTGTAATCCCAGCTACGCGGGAGGCTGAGGCAAGAAAATTGCTTAAATCTGAGAAACAGAGGTTACAGTGAGCCCAGATCACACTACTGTACTCCAGCCCGGGCAACAGAGCAAGACTCCATCTCAAAAAAAAAAAAAAGAAAAAAAAAGAATAGGGGCTTTCTTTTTGAGTGAAAAGGCTTTCTGGAATTAGTTAACAGTGATGGTTGCAAAACCCTTGGATATATCTAAAAATCACTGAAATGTACACTTCAAATTTAATGCTAGTATCTAATTATGTGCTTACTTACAAATGGGTGAAGTTTATAGTATGTGAATAACATATCAATAAATCTATCTTAAAAAGAAACTGTTTTAAGCCGGTCATGGTGGTTCCCACTTGTAATCTCAAAACCTTGGGAAACCAAAGCACGTGGATTGCTTGAGCCCAGGAATTCAAGACCAGCCTGGGAAACACAGTGAAACCCATCTTTCAAAGAAGAAAAACCATTAGCCAGGCATGGTGGCACACGCCTATAGTTCCAGCTACTCAGGAGGCTAAGGTGAGGTCATTTGAGCCCAGGAGGTCGAGGCTTCAGTGAGTCATTATAACACCAGTGCCCTCCAGCCTAGGTGACAACAAAGCAAGACCCTGTCTCAGAAGAAAGAAACTGTAGTTGCTTTAAAACTATGACTTCTTGACCAGGAGTAATGGCTCACACCTATAAGCCCAGCGCTTTGGGAGGCCGAGGCGGGTGGATCACGAGGTCAGGATTTCGAGACCAGCCTGACCAACATGGTAAAACCCCGTCTCTACTAAAAATAAGAAAAAATTAGCCAGGCGTGGTGGTGCGCGCCTGTAATTCCAGCTACTCAAGAGACTAATGCAGGAGAATCGCTTGAACTCAGGAGGCGGAGGCCTCAGTGAGCCAAGCCGCTGTACTCCAGCCTGTGTGACAAAGTGAGACTCCAGCTCAAAAACTGGAAAAAAAAAAAAAAAAAAAAAGACTTCTGGCCAGGTGCAATGGCTCACTCCTATAATCCCAGCACTTTGGGAGTCCCAGGCGGGTGGACTACAAGGTCAGGAGACTGAGACCAGCCTGGCCAGCATGGTGAAACCCCATCTCTACTAAAATACCAAAAAAAAAAAAAAAAAAAATTAGCTGGGTGTGGTGACATGAGCCTGTAATTCCAGCTGCTTGCAAGGCTGAGGCAGGAGAATCACTTGAACCCAGGAGGCAGAGGTTACAGCGAGCCAAGATTGTGCCATTGCACTCCAGCCTGGTGACACAGCGAGATTCTGTCTCAAAAAAAGACTTCTGTATGCTAGTTACAGGAAGTAAGACCATGTCAATTTTTTTTTCATTTTTAAAATGCCAAAAGATTATTCTGAATGGAAGAAAAATGAAACTATAGTAAACAAACTATAAACTATCCTACCGAAGAGTCTAAAATAAAGCAGGTCTATCAACACCTTAACACAGCTTTAAATACTGTTGCCAAGTGACATCGTTCAGATTTGTGTGCCCACCCAAAATCTCATGTTGAACTGTAATCCCCAGTGTTGAAAGAGGGGCCTGGTGGGAGGTACTGTATCTAGGGGTGGATCTCCCCCTTCCTGTTCTCATGACAGTGAGTTCTCATGAGATCTGGTTGTTTAAAAGTGTGTAGCACCTCCCACTTTGCTCTCTCTTCCTCTTGCTCCGGCTATGTAGGCCATGCCTGCTTCCCCTTCGCCTTCCACCATGATTGTGGGTTTCCTGAGGCCTCCCCGGCCATGCTTCCTGTACGGCCTGTGGAACCATGAGCCAATTAAACCTCTTTATAAATTACCAAGTTTCAGATAATTCTTTAAAGCAATGTGAAAACGGACTAATACCCCAAGCTTATGGAATAAAAATGGAAATAATCAAATCTAAAATTTCAACTTAAAATCCTGAGCGAAACAGACCATAAATCCAAGCATTAAAACGTTAAACCTATGCTTCAGAGTTCCCATCACACATAAAAGGAATACCTGGCCCGCCCACAGCTCTGGCCCTGGCCCACAGCTCTGCCCCCGTCCACTCTACCTCTTGGAAACCCCACAGGGGATACCCTTCCTGACCTGCCAGGACTCCCTGGGGACTGCTCTTCTCCATCCGGCAACACCAGCACCAGCTTCCAAAACACATGCTCCTGCCTCCCAGGGAGGTGCTCAGCCACAAGGGATGGCAGGTCCAGAGACGCCCACGCCACGTCGCTGGAAGGAAAAGACTACCGTGGGTTAGCCAGTATGTGAGACCCTGAGCAGCACACACATCCTATGAGCAGGAAGGTGCAGGATGGGGAAAAATCAGGGTCAGAGGTTGAACTGCAAACTAGAAACCATGTCTGAAACTCAGCAAAGAGACCACAGATGCATGAAGAGCTGTCAGTGTGACAGACTGGGAGACGGAGTTGGGGGTTAGTGGGGAGCACCCAGAAGGGTGGGGCATGACAGACCTCAGCAGCTGCTGGTAGAAGTGCTGAACCTTCATCTGGTGAGCCGTCTCATTTCTGAGCCGCCTTAACCTGCAAAGGAAAGCAGAATGACAGTGTCCCTGAAGGAGCTTAGTGAAAAGGACTGGCTAGTGAGTGTCCCCTGGGGAATACCCAGGAGACTGAAAAAAAACTTTCTGCTAAAGAAATTGGTTACAGGCCAGGCACGGTGGCTCACGCCTGTAATCCCAGCACTTTGGGAGTCCGAGGCGGGCAGATCCCAGGGTCAGGAGATGAAGACCATCCTGGCTAACACGGTGAAACCCCGTCTCTACTACAAATACAAAAAATTAACTGGGTGTGGTGGTGCACACCTATAGTCTCAGTTACTCAGGAGGCTGAGGCAGGAGAATCGCTTAAACCCGGGAGGCAGAGGTTGCAGTGAGCCAGTATCACGAGCACTGCACTCCAGCCTGGGTGACAGAGCAAGGCCCCATTTCCAAAAAAAAAAAAAGGATTAAGAGGATTTCTTCATTCCACAAATATCAATTAAGTATCTGCTGTGTGCTGACTGTGGGAGATTCAGCAATAAATCCTGCCCTTCAAGCATCTCTAAATGCTGGCCTGGCATGTGGGAGGTGTGGGCACTGTGGGCAAATGCTGCCAGGTACGGCTGGAGCTGGGGTGTGTGTTGCAATCTCACCAGGGTGGTCAGATGATAGGTGAGCAATGACCTAAAGGAAACAGGGACAGCCAGCATGACAACTCCCAGCAGCAGAGCGCATGGCTATGCTGGGCCACAGCTGGACCTAGCATGTTTGGGGAGAGCAGTGAGGACAGCTGGGGAAGGAGCGGGGTCCATAGTGCAGAGACTTGGCGATTGCTAGGTTCACCGCCAAGACGAGCAACGCCACCTGGCTGAGCTGTCAGAGGATCCCTCCAGCTGATGCTGACCTGGTGCAGGAGATGCCCAATTTCCCTGCGTGGCCCAAGTCCAGGAGACCCCTGGCCAGGTTCTCCTCAGCAATGGGGCACTCTGCGCTGGGCGCCAGCGCCCTCAGCCGGTCGCTCACGTCCACGCAGCAGGGCGCAGCAGGGAAAGCCCGCATCTGGCGCCTCAGTTTCTTCCGGGCTGCAACAGCTTCCCTCCACCTGGGGGACACAAAAACACATCATCACTGAGTGTTTTCAATGTCTTCAAACCTATAAACAAATTGGAGTTAAAACTCAGGCATGTTGCTGACTTGGCCAACAAAAAATAAATAAATAAATAAATAAAAACAACTCAGGCATGGGGAAGGAATGATATCAAATGAGTGTGGTGAGCAATGAAACTACTGGATATAAGAACTAACAATGAATGCGCTTTGGAGGCCGACTTGGCAATATGGAGACATGTGGGAAGAAAGTTGCCCAGGTGCCATGGCAAGAAACGGAAGGCACATCTGTCCCAGCATAATAAATGATTACTTAGACATAGCAGTGATATCAAACATAAATAACTGATTACTTGGTTATAGCAATGACACCAATTAGACTTACATACAATCACATAATTAATTATATAGTCAATCTTATTACATTATTATTCTCTATTATTAACTTTTCCTTTAGTATTACAGCATAGGAACGTTTTTAGCCTCATACTACAGAAATAATAGGGTAAAATATAATTAGGAACTAAAGGGACATTGTGAGAAGTGATCAGGAGGCAAGAATAAACGCCTTGTGGTAACACCAGTGCCTGGCAAGGCGCCCGTTACTTAGCAGGCAGGCCTTGCAGTAATGCCAGCATCTGGGAAGGTGCCCGCTACTTAGCAGGCCATGAGGGGGAGTTTCCCTCTCACTGGGGAGTTCAGAGAAAACTCTGCTCTGCCGGCTCTTGAGGAAGGTCTGACACTAGCTAGCCCACAGACATCCAGGGGCTTAAACACCTCTCTATGGTGCAGTGCTCCGATGGTCACCATCCTTGTCCACTTTCATGTTCCACTTTCCCACCCGATGCTCCCTTGTAAATTCTTAGAAGAATAGAGGAATCCTAAAAGCCTTTGATCTCTCTGATAAGTGCATAGAAAGATATTGACCTACGTGCCTCCCCTCCTTGCAGCAGCTACCTGAGGGAGGGGCCCTCTGTACTGTACCCACGTGACCTGCTGAACTGTGCCCATGTGGCCCCCCATATTTTAAGAAAGTGATTTGCTTGACCCCTAGCAATCATGTCAGATAATTCACTCTCCGGCCCTGCCCCCCTGCCTTGTTTACAATAAATGTCCGTGAGTCCAGGCATTCGGGGCCACTGCTGGACTCCGCCTCCTGGCAGCAGTGGTCCCCCGCCCAGCTGAATTCTTATCTCTGTGTCCTTGTGTCTTTCTCTTCTACGATCTATCGTCTCTGCACACAAAAGAACACCCACAAGACCCTGTGGGGCTGGACCCTGCAGATACAGATCTAAGATACATATGCCCAGCCGGGCACAGTGGCTCACACCTGTAATCCTAGCACTTTGGGAGGCCAAGGTGGGCAGATTGTCTGAGCTCAAGAGTCTGAGACCACCCTGGGCAACACAGTGAAACACATCTCTACTAAAATACAAAAAATTAGACGGTTATGGTGGCAGGTGCCTGAGGTCCCAGCTACTCAGGAGGCAAAGGCAGGAGAGTAACTTAAACCCGAGAGGTGGAGGTTGAAGTGAGCCGAGATCACGCCACGCCACTGCACTCCAGCCTGGGCAACAGAAGGAGACTCCTGTCCAAAAAAACCAGATACACATATATCCCTTGACCCACAGCCGCCACTGACAGGAATTTATCTCCAGACACACGTGCCTGTGTGCAACCAAGTGCAATGTCTGTACAAGGACAGTCGCCGTGACGCTCTTTGCCAGAGCTAAAAGGAGAGCCACATCAAAGTCCATCAACAAGAGGACCAGGAAGGTCATCACTGGTACATTCTCGCACTGACCTCGACACCACTGGCAATGCTGAGAGCTCAACACGCTGCTACAGCCAGGCCGCCACCTCTTATCAGATGGAGCATAGAAAGGCTCAGAGCAAAGCAGGGGTCAGGAGGCCACCTGTGCCAACAGCCACAGGAAAGGACGGAAAGTCTCTGGATGGATTCACAAGCAGCTGCTGCTCGAACAATGGACAGAGGTCTGTTGCGGAAGGGAGACGCACTTCTCCCCATACTCCCTTCTGTCCTGTTACAACTGTCAAGGACACTATTACTTATTTTAAATTTTACTGTGAAATAAATCATACAACACACGTAACACATATATGCCCCGTTTAAAGATTAATAAATAATCAAGCACCTATGCACTTTCATCCAGCTGAGACGCTGTAGCCATGACAGGCAGCCCTCCTATTCCCAAAAGTAACTACTAAGCTAAGATTATGATCATTATTTTCCTCCTTTTCTTTAGGATTATACTACTATATAAAAATCCAAAATAAGCAACTTGGTATGAATATACAGTATTTGTATATTCCCTATTAATCGCTTTTTTCCCACTACTTCTGTTTTGAGAATTCACATTTGCTGGTGCACAGAACCATCATCTGGCCTGTTCACAGCCATCTCCCAGCATCCAGTGGCGTGGGCACATGGCAGGCACCCTGTAAGTATCTGCTGAAATACAGAGCAGCTACCGCACCCCTATCTAATTCCTGACTTTTCCCCTTAGTTTATACTCTGTGCGTGCGTGCGTGCGTGCGTGTGTGTGTGTGTATGTGTCTCTCACACGTAATCAAGTATTTCTGAAACCCAATATAATCCAATTAGAGTCCATTTTAGTTTCCCTGATCCTTTTACCACTGAGTAAAGGAATTGATGGCTCATACATTTTGAATCTGGTAAAAGACTCTTCCCCGTGTGTGGATTTTGCCTGTAGGGACACGGACTCACCGCTGCAGATACTTGCAGAAGCACTGAAGCTCCTGGAGTGTCTCCTTTGCAGTCTGGAAGATTTCCTCCACGAGAAACAAGTCCACAAGGTGGGCACAGACATCCTCACAGCAACGGGCCATGCGGACCCTCTGGTCTGTCTCTACTGCTTTCCTAAAAAATAGGGCAATCAGCATGGAAGATCGCACTCAGGGCCCACAGACACTGAGGGCTTGCTTTAAAAGTTCAAGAGCTGGCCAGGCATGGTGGCTCACGCCTGTAATCCCAACAACAATTTGGGAGTTTGAGACCAACCTGGCCAACATGGAGAAACCCCAGCTCTACTAAAAATACAAAATTAGCCAGGCATGCTGGCACATGCCTATAATCCCAACTACTCGGAAGGCTGAGGCTGGGGAATCACTTGAACCCAGGAGGCAGAGGTTGCAGTGGGCCGAGATCATGCCATTGCACTCCAAGCTGGGCAATAAAAGCCAAACTCCGTCTCAAAAAAAAAAAAAAAAAAAAAGAAAATAAAAATTGAAATTAAAATACAGAAATTAGCTGGGCCATGGTAGTATGTGCCTATAGTCCCAGCTGCTCGGGAAGCTGAGGCAGGAGAATTGTTTGAACCCAGAAGGTGGAGGTTGCAGTAAGCTGAGACTGCACCACTGCGATCCAGCCTGGGTGACAGAGGAAGACTCCATCCCAAAAAAGAAAACAAAAAAACAGCGTTTAAGAGTCGGCATCCTCAACATTAAAATGTAATTACATGTTCAGTGTAAGTAAAGCTTGAATGCTTAAACTACAGACACCTAGAGACCCTCCTGGCCAACATGGTGAAGGTACAGGGTGCCAAATTACAGGGCACAGGGGCCCTTGTAACAGTTAAGAAATAAACTTGAGCCGGGCGCGGTGGCTCAAGCCTGTAATCCCAGCACTTTGGGAGGCCGAGGCGGGTGGATCACAAGGTCAAGAGATCGAGACCATCCTGGTCAACACGGTGAAACCCTGTCTCTATTAAAAATACAAAAAATTAGCTGAGCATGGTGGCGCGTGCCTGTAATCCCAGCTACTCAGGAGGCTGAGGCAGGAGAATTGCCTGAACCCAGTAGGCAGAGGTTGCAGTGAGCCAAGATCGTGCCATTGCACTCCAGCCTGGGTAACAAGAGCAAAACTCCGTCCCAAAAAAAAAAAAAAAAAAGAAATAAACTTGGCCGGGCACAATGGCTCACACCTGTCATCCCAGCACTTCGGGAGGCCAAGGCGGGGGGATCACAAGGTCAAGAGGTCGAGACCATCCTGGCCAACATGGTGAAACCCCGTCTCTACTAAAAATACAAAAATTAGCTGGGCGTGGTGGCGTTCACCTGTAGTCCCAGCTACTTGGGAGGCTGAGGCAGGAGAATCGCTTGAACCCGGAAGGCAGAGGTTGCAATGAGCTGAGATCACACCACTGCACTCCAGCCTGGTGACAGAGTGAGGACTCTGTCTCAAGAAAAAAATAAAAAGAAAAAAAGAAAGAAAGGAAAATTTATCTTAATAGTCAGAATTTTTAATTAATTATTTTAGAGACAGAGGCTCACTGTGCTGCCCAGGCTGCAGTACGGTGGCCACCCACTGGTACAATCATTGCATACTACCTGGACCTTCCGAGCTTAAGTGATCTTCACACCTCAGTCTCAGGAGCTGGGACTACAGGTGCTTGGCTTAGAATTTGTGAATAACCATGCAGACAACCAACCACAAAACCTTCTCATCAGCAATATCTGACTGGAAGTACGTCAAATATCTGATAAATGCCAGTGGCTACTAAGGATGGCTGATGCTGGTCACGTGGTAGCCCTCGTATAAAATAGAATTTTTTATAATAAAATTATCTTTGTCAAATGTATATCAAATTACATTTGGTCACAAAATCAAAGCTTAAACAAGAAAGCACATTTCCAGTAACCCATCCTCAGTGGCTCCAGACACAACCTCAGTCTCCCAGCACAGCAAGGCAACAGTGTTTCACTTACTTCAACTCCTGAGAGCAGGTTTCCCTCACAAACTCCATCATCACCTGTTCCATCAGCTCTGCAGCCAGGCCCTGGCTCAGCTCAGTTAACGCCAGCTCTCTCTCCCGCTGCAACCTACAAGGAAGAGAATACACAACGGTAATGTTTCAAAATAAAAATAAGTGCTGCTTGTTTTACTCCCCGGCCGTGCAGACAGGGACTGAGCTGTGCTGCCTGAGCCAAAAGGCCACCCCGACTCCAGCTCCCAACACCACCTCCCTTCCCCTGCCTTTCCTGGCTGGGGAACGCCACTGCTCACAGGTAGGCATGGCCTGGGGACCTCGACCCACTCCCTGGGCTCAAATGTATGAGGGCACTGAGAGGGTCAGCAGGGGTTGAATGGCAGCACAGTGCACAACAGCAAGGGCTTCCCAGCCAGGGTCCATTCTCTCCTGGTCCACACACATCTCCTGTCCTGCTGCATGGACACGACACACCGACCTTTCCTCTTCAGCCCGCTGCCTCTCCTGCTCTCTTCGTTCCCTTTCCTTAGTCACTTCTTCGGCTGCGATGTGCCTCAAAATGCCTGTGGTTGCAGCTGTTAACAAATCCTCCACAGCAGCATTAGAAACACTACACAGAGCAAAGAGGGTAGCATTCAAAATCAGAGTAAAAAAGCCATGTCAGTAAGTGTCTAAAGGAAAAAAAAGCACACAGCTTGAGTATCCCTAATCCAAAAATCTGAAATCCAAAATGCTCCAAAATCTGAAACTTTTTGAGCACAGCATGACATGCTTTTCAAAGGAAATGCTCACTGAATCATTTCAGAATTCAAATTTTTGGGTAGGACATACTCAACCGGTAGATATAATACAAATATTCCAAAATCGAAAAATATCTGTGATCTAAAACACTGTCGTCCCAGCACTTTGGATAAGGGATACGCAACCTATACGTGTTTGGCTGTCAGCATACAAATTAAGCCCACTGTTAGAAACACACCATCTACCAAAACAGACTTGTGAAGAAACAGAAAAATCTCAACAGTCCTGTAACTAGTAAGGAGACTTCCAAACAAAGGAAAGTATAAGACCAGAAAGTTTCACTGGTAAATTCTATTAAACACTTATGAAAAACTAACACCAATCTTTCTCAAACCCTTTCAAAAACTGAGGAGGAGGGAACATTTACTAACTCTTTTATGAGGCTAGCATTGCCCTAATACCAAAGACAGACCAAAGACACTAGAAGAAAGCTAGAGACTGGCCAGGCACGTGGCTCACACCTGTAATCCCAGCATTTTGGGAGGCCGAGGTGGGAGGACTGCTTGAACCCAGGAGTTCAAGACTAACCTGGGCAACACAGGGAGACCCCGTCCCTACAAAAAAATAAAAACTTAGCCAGGTATGGTGGCATGTGCCTGTGGTCCTAGTTACTTGGGAGGCTGAGGTGGGAGGATGGCTTCAGCCTAGAATATCAAGGCTGCAGCTAGCTGTGATTATGCTTCTGCACTCTGGGCTTGGCGGCCAAGTAAGACCCTGGCTCAAAAAAAAAAAAAAAAAAAAAAGGAATAAAGAGGAAAACTACAGACCAATATTCTTCATGAATATGGATATAAAAATCCTCAACAAGGCCGAGCATGGTGGCTCATACCTGTAATCCCAGCACTTTGGGAGGCCAAGGTGGGTGGATCACCTGAGGTCAGGAGTTCGAGACCAGCCTGGCCAACATGGTGAAACTCCGTCTCTACTAAAAACACAAACATTAGCATGGTGTTGGTGGCAAGCAGCTGTAATCCCAGATACTTGGGAGGCTGAGGCAGGAGAATCACTTGAACCTGAGAGATGAAGGTTACAGTGAGCCAAGGTTGCGCCACTGCACTCCAGCCTGGGAGACAGAGCAAGACTCCATCTCAAAGAAAAAAACAAATCTTCAACAAATGTTGGGCGCAGTGGCTCACATCTGTAATCCCAACACTTTGAGAGGCTGAGGTCAGGAGTTCAAAGCCAGTTTGCGCAACGAAGTGAGACCCAGCCTCTAAAAAATTTAAAACTTGACCGGGCATGGTGGCTCATGCCTGTAATCCCAGCACTTTGGTAGGCCAAGGCAGTGGATCACCTGAAGTCAGGAGTTCCAGACCAGCCTGGCCAAGCGAGACTCTGTCTCAAAAATAAACAAATTAATTAATTAATTAAACCAAGGAAGCAAAAACTTTGTATGGTGAAAACTATAAAACATTCCTGAAAGAAATTAAGGATGACCTAAATAAATGGAAAGGCATCTGATATATTCAGATTAGAAGATTTAATATTGTTAAAACAACAATATTAGCCAGGCGTGGTGGCTCATGCCTGTAATCCCAGTACTTTAAGAGGCTGAAGCAGGCAGATCACTTGAGGCCAGGAGTTCGAGACCACCCTGGACAACATGGCAAAAGGTATCTCTACAAAATATTAAAAAATTAGCCAGGTGTGGTGGTACACACCTGTAATCCTAGCTACGCAGGAAGCTGAGGCAGGAGAATCGATTGAATCCAGGAGGCGGAGGTTGCAGTGAGCCGAGATTGAGCCACTGCGCTCCAGCCTGAGCAACAGAGAGAGACTCCATCTCAAAAAAGAAAAAAAAAGATGTCAATACTACCCAAAACAATTTATAGATTCAATGTAATCTCTCTCAAAATCCCAACAGCACTTTTTGCAGAAACAGAAAAACTCATCCTAAAATTCAGATGATATCTCAGGAGACCCCAAATAACAAAACCATCTTGAAAAAGAACAGATGGAGGGGAAAATTTTTTTTTTTTTTTTTTTTGAGAAAGTCTCACTTTGTTGCCCAAGCTGGAGTGCAATGGAGCGATCTCGTCTGATAGCAACTTCCGCCTCCCGGGTTCAAGCAATTCTCCTGCCTCAGCCTCCCAAGAAGCTGGGATTACAGGGACCTGCCATCACACCTGGCTAATTTTTTTTATTTTTAGTAGAGACGCGGTTTCACCATGCTGATCAGAATGGCTCAAACTCCTGACCTTGTGATCCGTCTACCTCGGCCCCCCAAAGTACTGGGATTACAGGTGAGAGCCACTGCACCTGGTTGTTTTTTTTTTTGAGAGATTTTTTTGAGAGAGTCTTGCTCTGTCACCCAGACTGGAGTGCAGTGACACTATCTTGGCTCACTGCAACTCTCCGCCTCCTGGGTTCAAGCGATTCTCCTGCCTCAGCCTCCCAAGCAGCTGGGAGTACAGCTGCCCACCACCACGCCTGGCTAATCTTTGTATTTTTAGTAGAGATGGGGGTTTCACCATGTTGGCCACGCTGGTCTTGAACTCCTGACCTCAGGTGATCCACCCGCCTCGGCCTCCCAAAGCACGAGGAATACAGGCATGAGCCACCAGAAAATCTCCATGACACTGTATTTGGCAATGGCTTATTGGATCATGACTCCAAAACACAGGCAACTTTAGTAGAGGAAACTTCTGGAGGACTGGGCGCAGCTCCCCACTGCGAGTAGGAGGAGGGGAGCACCAGACGCCACTCACCCCAGAGCAGCAGCCACGTAGGCAGCGCCTGCAGAGCCGACTTCCTCGCAGTCCCTCTGCAGAGCCTCCTGGATGAGCTCATCCACCACCTGTTCCAGGTCCTGTGGAGAGACCAGCATGGGGTCGAAGGGAATGTCCCACCCAGGGCAGAAATCCTGGGTAACATGTTGTCACTGACAGTCTGCAGTTATCTGGTGACCAAAGCACATGACCCCTGACACAGGGTCAGCTAGACTGCTGCAGGAAAAGCGTTCCCTGGCAAGCGGAAAGCAGATGGCCGCAGAGCACCCTGGCCCAGACATCTCCAATCTACATCAGCAGCCTCCGCTTCTGTGGCCACTCTTATGCTCCCGCTCAGGACTCCCTGATCCCAAGAGGGGCTGCGCCCAGTGCCTGCCCCTAAGCAGCCAGAGTGGCACAGTCCAGTCCCACAACCACAGAGTTAACAGGCTCTACTCCACAGTAAGGCACAGGTCAGGGGCCATGCCCACCCTGCAGCCACACACTTCAAGGGGCACACCCACCCCAGGCCAGGCCCATCAGGGTGCACAGTCACACAGGCCACACACAGCAGAGAAAACACATCCACCCCAAGGCCACGCATATCAGAGGACACAGCCACCCCAAGCCATGCCCACAGGGGACACACCCACCCAGGCCACACCCAACAGTAGGGACACCCACTCCCAGCTAACACCCACAGGGGACAAGATCACACCTACCAGTGCGGACACCCAACCCCCCGACATGCCCACCAGGAAGACACACCCACTCTCAGGCCAGGAACACCAGGGCCGCACCTACCAGGAAGATACACCCACTCTAGGCCACACCCACTGGGGGTACACCCACCCTCAGCTATGCCCATGAGGGACACACCCACCCCCGCCAGGGGGCATACCCACACCTAGGCCATGCCCATGAAGGTGTACAACGCTGCCCATGATCCTGTCAGGAATAGACAGGTGCTGAGTTCAGACACACAGGGGCTCAGGCCAGTGCTGAGAGGAAGCTCACAAGATGAAGATGGGACTCCACACTGAGCCTGGATGGTGGGCCCCAGACCTGTCACCTGAGGTTGGCTGACTCTAGCAAGACCCCTCCCTGAATTCTCCGGAGACCAGGCACCACAGCCCACCCCACGGAGTGAAGACCCAGGACATTAGTGCACAATGACCTAGAAGAGTCCCTACCTCATCAGAGTACACGGGCACGGGCTCTGGAGGAGGCAACTCAGGCTGCACAGGGGGCTGGAAGAGGCCAGGCGCCCCAGACATGTTCAGTGCCAGGATGGGAGGCAGAGGCACTGGCGAGGGCGCAGGGGCAGGGAGAGGCTGCAGGAGACTGGGCAGGGACGCATCTCGCTCGAGGCCACACTCCTCTCCTCTCCCTCCACCTGGAAGGAAACACACAGGAGGAAACAGCGCTGCAGACACAGGGCGCCTGGCACCACGGAGACCAAGGTCTGCAGGGACAGCCCCAGGCCACCCACAGTGACCCTGAGAACTGGCCTGCCCTCCTGAAGACCAGCCACATGGGACACACACCACAGGGGACATGTCTACCCTTCAGGTGAAAGACAAGCCCCTGGAGGTGAGGGAGCCAGGAGCAAGGCTTCACAGCCCCTCGGTCCACTCCCAGTGAGCTCTGAGCATGAGGGAGCGCCGCACCCCTGGGCCCAAGACTAGACAGATGCTCAGGTTCCTGGGAGGCATCCTGGCAGGAAAATGCAGCCAGTCCCCGCACTACGACTGTGGCTTCACTCACCCACTGTGTCCGAGCCGGGTCTCTGGGTGCCGACGGGCAGCTCTGTGGCCAGGCTCTCCCCAACGTACTTGTTCTGGGAGTTGAAGCTGCACACAGGGGTGTGACGAGGGACGGGGGGCAATGGTCCTCCATTCACAATTTCCCCAATGGACACCGTCAGCTTCCTGGTAATAAACACTGACTTCCTGGTCTTGGATAATCCCTCTGGTTCCAGGAAAGCAGACCGGTTCAGCTCCACACAGCTACCCAGACCACAAGAAGACACCAGAGGGCCGTCACCAGGGAAGAAGGCAGCTTTGCCCTCAGTGCCCCGCCGAGTGCTGCAAGCTGTTAGGCGTCCCACAGCCACGTGTAAAGAACAGAAAGCAGAGGCCCGGGTCCCATGGCCACCCCTCCTGGAGCCTCTGCAGGTCCCTGGAACCACTGGGCCCAGCGAATTAACAGACACACGCTGACTCACTCCTGCCTCCTGGCTGCCTCACCCAAAGCCGCCTGTTTTGTGAGGGCAGACTGGGAAGGAGACAGGCCGGGGACAGGCAAGTAGATACAGGAGGCGGGGTGGGGAACCCAGCAGTGGGTGTTGAGGGTAAGCTGCCGGTGTCTGACAGTGGGTCTATGAGTCTCATCCTGGTCTTAAAAGACACTCTGACTGCTCAGTAGCAGAGAAGACTCCGGCCTGGCCTTCGGTGCCTTCATCCCAGCTGTCAGAGGTTGCCTGTCACCGGCTGGCAAAGGCAGTCAAGGGAAACAATAAGCCCTAACTTTTATCTTTAGGTTCGCTGACAACTCATGAAAAGGATTGATTTTCGAGTCAACAAAGAACTTGGTCTGAGCCCTCAATGGGCTGACAGCCAGAGTGTTGGGAACATCCCCAGCCATTCTGAGCCTCATGTGTTCACCTGTACAGGAGAGGAACGCACCTTCTCCAAGCCAGGCAGGCAGGCAGCCCCCCCATGGCCCTTTATCAGAATTAGAAAGGAAACAGGAGAGAGGGGCCCACAGTTCCACGCTCAGCTCTCACCCATCAGAAATGGTGAGGCCGTGGCAGGTGAGGAAGTCAGTCGCCTCTTCGCAGTCTTGGAACAGCAGCATGCGCACCACGCCATCCAGGGGAAAGACGGTAGATCGCTGTGTGCTCACTGTGTATGCAAAGTTGAGCGCCCGGAGAGCATCCCTGCGGATCTGAAAGGAGCAGCCAATGACTGCAGTCTCAGAGAAAGGCCCAATCAGACAAATGCAGTCAGCCTGTGACCACAGGATCGGCCAGCGTGGGGACATGGGCTCCTCCTGGGACTCAGCCCACCAGAAGGCGCTCTGGTAACATAGAATGACCCAAGCTTAGAGATCGCAGGTGGTCTGCTCAGTGGTGATGCTCAGGAATGCATGCCAAGCAAACATTCTCACAGAGAAGGATAGGCTGGGAAGGTTTTATTTATGAGAAAAATCATGAAACAAACCTTCCACCAACAAGGCCAGGTGAAGTCAGCTATGCAGCATCCACTCAACATGAAGGTGCTGCAGAGGACCCCGGAGACTACAGAATGCCAGGAAGAAATGAATCATGGCATTATAACAAAAGCCTTTAAAAAAAAAAAAAAAAAAGAGGTCAGGTGTGGTGACTCACACCTGTAATCCCAGCACTTTGGGAGGCCAAGGTGGGAGGATCGCTTGAGCCCAGGAGTTCAAGACCAGCCTGGGCAACATAGCTACACCCTATTCTCCACAAAAAATAATTTTTTTTTAATTAGTGGGGTATGGTGGCATGCACCTGTGGTCCCAGTAGCTAAGGAGGCTGCAGTGGGAGGATGGCTTGAGTCCAGGAGGTCGAGGCTGCAGTGAGCCCTGATCACACCACTGCACTCCAGTCTAAGTGACAGAGGGAGAACCAGTCTCCAAAAATGGACAATAGGGCTGCGGGCCGAGGCTCACACCTGTAATCCCAGCACTTTGGGAGACCAGGAGGATCACATGAGGTCGGGGGTTCAATACTAGCCTGGCCAACATGGTGAAACCTGGTCTCTACTCCAACAATACAAAAATTAGCTGGGTGTGGTGGTGGGAGCCTATACTCCCAGCTACTCGGGAGGCTGAGGCAGGAGAACCACTTCAAGCCAGGAGGTGGAGGCTGCAGCGAGCCGAGATGGCACCACTGCACTACAGCCTGGGTGCCAGAGTGAGACTCCATCTCAAAAAAATAAATAAAAATTTAAAACGACAAAGGAAAAACATAAAAATGCTAACAAAAATTATGCTTGGGTGCTGTGGCTTTGGCAACTAAGCTGTTAGTCCTCTTCCAATGTTCTTTAATTCAAGCTATACTGACTCAGCGTTTGGCCTGTGCCTGGTACTGTTCTTAATGCTTAGAATACAACAGTGAACAAAACAAAATCCCCGTCCCCACGTAGCGGACATGCTAGGGGAGAGAACAATGCCACAGAAAACAAGCACATACAATACACAGAATGGCCATTTAGCATGGCAAATGGATGGGGAGAAGAGGGAGCGCTGGCGGAGGCCTACTGAGGGCAGCAGCCAGGCCCCATCTTGCCTCAGGGAGGTGCTGAGTTCAGACACACAGGGGCTCAGGCTGGAGCTGACAGCACCATGCAGTTTTGTGAGCGGGAACAGCAGTGGGAACAGCAAGCACAAAGCCTCTGAACAGGGGTGCACGGGAATGCAGGGGCTGCAGGGACAGGCGGGTGCCTCTGTGCACCACTGCTGGTGAAAACAGTTTTTCCATAGAAAAACGCTTGAATCATCTCTTTTGTTTATAGTTATTAAAAATGGCCTGGCACAGTGGTTCACACATGTAATCCCAGCACTTTGGGAGGCCAAGGTGGGCAGATTACTCAGGTCAGGAGTTCAAGATCAGCCTGGCCAACATGGAAAAATCCCGTCTCTATTAAAAATACAAAAATTAGCTGGGCATGGTGGCACACGCTGGTAATCCCAGCTACTTGGGAGAGAGGCTGAGGCAGGACAATCGCTTGAACCTAGGAGGCAGAGGTTGCAGCGAGCCAAGACTGTGCCACTGCACTGCAGTCTGGGCAACAGAGCGAGACTCTGTCTCAAAATAAATAAATAAATAGTTATTAAAATTGGTCAACATTCTACTAATGATCATCATATATACAGTATTAATTGTAAGTTTTATTTTTTTTGACAGAGGGTCTTTGTTGCCCAGCAGATCTTGGCTCACTGCAGCCTCAACCTCCCAGGCTCAAGCAATCTTCCCACCTCAGCCTCCTGAGTAACTGGGACAAGAGTGTACCACCAAACCTGCCCAGCTGGTTTTTTTTTATTTTTAGTAGAGACGGGGTCTCCCTATGTTGGTCCTGAATTCCCGAGTTCAAGCAATTTTCCCACCTCAGCCTCCCAAGGTGCCAGGATGACAGGTGTGAGCCAATGCACCCAGCCAATATTAACTATAAGTGGCAAGCTAAGGAAAACCTTTTCATTTGCTCCAGAACTTCAGTTGTCTGGCAACCTGCAGACCTGACAACAAGGAGCAAACCTGCAAAGGACTCTGACGGTGACATGGCTGTGTGTTTAGTCAGTTTACAGGAGGCCCTGATGTGTGACCAAAGAAATCATCTGGAGCCACAGACGGACGGACCTAGGCAGGTCCTGAGGTCTCCCAGGCATCACCCTCCCTACACAGTGGCCACTGCAGGCTGTGGCAAGGAATCCAGGCCACCTCCCTGAACCCACTGCCAGAGTGGGCAGCACAGTGTGTGCGAGGTAAGGCAGTGGGTTCAAGGTGGCCCTGTTAAGGCAGGTGGCAGTCCTGGTCACATCTCCCTGAACTGATACATGGGGGGCCTAGAACCACAGGTGCCACAGGGGCTGCTCTGTCCTCATCCCCAGGTCCCATGGAACTGCAACGAAAGGACCAAGTGGAAAACCCGAGACACTGAGTTTCCTCTGTGCAAACCTCAGGGGAGGGACCAGCCTTCCCACTGCTCTGCAGCCCCAGCACGCGGCAAAGCACAGACACTGAGGCACCAACTGAAATAAACTTAGCACCATCAGCCTTACTCCAGACACTTAGATTTAAAACACGAAGAATTTCAAAGTCAGGGATTTTGTGTGTAGATATGAGGTCTCTGCTTTTTAGTTAGTTTTCAAGGATGATGATAGTGCTGAATTCAAACTGTTGTTCTAAAGAGACTTTCTTTTTTTTTTTTGAGACAGAGTCTGGCTCTGTCACCCAAGTTAGAATGCAGTGGTGCGATCTTGGCTCAGTGCAGCCTCTGCCTCCTGGATTCAACCGATTCTCCTGCCTCACAGCCTCCCAAGTAGCTGGGACTACAGGCACCTGCCACCACATTCAGCTGATTTTTGTATTTTTAGTAGAGACAGGGTTTCGCCATATTGGCCAGGCTGGTCCTGAACTCCTGACCTTGTGATCCGCCTGCCTTGACCTCCCAAAGTGCTGGGATTATACAGGCATGAGGCACCAAGCCAGGCTGTAAAGAGATTTTTCTTATCTGAACCATAGAACAGTATTTTCCATTGCACAGCCTTTCTGGATGGTGACCAATGGTGCTAACCTTCTTAAACAGGGCAACACTAGAAACCCCTCCATGGGGCTGCCACAAGGACGACACAGCCTCAGCCTGAGACCAGCTTGGAAAAGCTGGGAATAGAAAAGCACTCGAATAGCACAGGAACAACCTGCTTTCTACCAACTCTGCAAGCACAGCTCATTTACTCACCTGATTAAAGTAACAGTGTAAAAGACAAGCATTCAGGTAAGAAGCTGACTGGACCAATTTGAAAAATCTCACAAAATTATTACTGTTCAATGCAGCAAAAGCCTGAACAGCAAATTTCACCTCGGAGGAGTTTCTAACAGCAGGATGGAACTGTTGTACTTCTCTGTCAATTAAAGGAGAGAAAAGGGGTTGGAATGTTATTTTTCATAAGACAAAATTTTCATCAAGATAGATATAACAACAGATTCCATTGGCCAGATGCTGTGGCTCATGCCTGTAATCCCAAAACACTGGGAGGCCAAGGTGGGAGGACGGTTTGAGCCCAGGAGGTTGAGGCTGCAGTGAGCTGAGATCACATCACTATATTCCATCCTGAGTGACAGAGCAAGATCCTGTCTTAAATAATAATGATATTAGATTTCAACCATACTGAGAAGGAGGGTCTTGCTGGTGAAACATGCCACTAAATTCATAGTTTACTAACTTCAAAGCTACCATGCTTGGGCTGATTTGATAGACCAAGGTCTCTTTCTGAAACACAATGAAGAGAATAAACAAATTCAGCAATTTAGCCATCAGTTACCAAAAAGTTACTTTAAATGAACGCCGATTGTCAGCTGTGCTAGACGGTAAAGCCTAAGAAAACAGAAACCTTAACTCTTTGTTCAGAAATGAATTGATTTTGACTGAATTATTCATGATGGAAAACAAATGCTTATCACAAAAAAAATAATACAGCCATTCTCCATAACCAGTTTATCTACATGGCTTAATTTTACTTTTTTTTTTTCTTTTTTTGGAAACAGAATCTTGCTCTATCACCCAGGCTGCAGTGCAGTGGCACAATCACGGCTCACTGCAGCCTCAACCTCCTGGCCTTAAGCAATCCTCTCATCTCAGCCTCCCAAAGTGCTATGAGGCCATGGGCCACCACACCTGGTCTTTTTTTTTTTAAGATATAGGGTCTTGCTTTGTCACCCACACTGGAGCGCAGTGGCATGATCACAGCTCATTGTAGCCTTGACCTCCTGGGCTCAAGGGACCCTCTCATCTCAGCCTCCCCAGTAGCTGGAACTACAGGCCTACACTACCACACCTGGCTTTTTTTTTTTTTTTTTTTTTTGTAGAATAGGGTCTCACTATGTTGCCCAGGCTATACAAGGCTTAATTTTAACATTTAAAATTAGCAGGGCATGGTGGCGCATGCCTGTAATCCTAACACTTTGGGAGGCTGAGGTGGACGGATCGCCTGAGGTCAGGAGTTCCAGACCATCCTGGCCAACATGGCAAAACCCCATCTCTAGTAAGAATACAAAAAAGTTAGCCAGGCATAGTGTTGTACGCCTGTAATCCCCGCTACTCAGAAGGCTGAGGCAAGAGAATCGCTTGAACCTGGGAGGCAGAGGTTGCAGTGAGCCGAAATCTAGCCTAAGCAAAAGAGCAGGACTCAGTGTCAAAAATAAAATAAAATAAAAATTTAAAATCATTCACACATCTAGATATTCTTCCACACAGTTCTTGAAGAAAATACAAAGCTAAAATATTGGTTTTAGCATCAATAGGGGAATTTTAGAACTAAAGGGGACACTGCCCACCATCAAGTCTCACTCAACAACACCACAGCTGGGCACGGTGGCTCATGGCTGTCATCTTAGTACTTTGGGAGGCTGAGTGGGCAGATCATGAGGTCAGGAGTTCAAGACCAGCCTGACCAACATGGTGAAACCCCGTGTCTACAACAAAATACAAAAATTAGCTGGGCATGGTGGCTCGTGCCTATAATCTCAGCTACTCGGGAGAGGCTGAGGCAGGAGAACTGCTTGAACCAGGACCTGGGAGGTGGAGGTTGCAGTGAGCCAAGATAGCACCACCGCACTCTAGCCTGGGCTACAGAACGAGACTCCATCTCAAAAAATAAAAAATAAAAAAATTAAAAATAAAACCACCACCACAAGCAGGGGCCAGAGAGCTTGCCAGACTTCTCAATGACGGGTCAGACCAGGGTTTTAAATTCATTCATTCTTACTACCCCATTCTTAGCATTTTTGTTTCACACAATTTTTTTTCTCTCTTCTTATTTGGATCTTTGACAGAACTATCTGGAAACAGGGAGCTAACAACCCTGCAGGGCAGCTAGAACTCCCTCTCCTGGTTCACTCACCTGTCTCACTAGGAGGATTCCTTCCTCACGTCTCTCACTGGTGAGGAGAAACAGTTCTCAGAAGCGAGCATGTGGGGCCTACATCAGGTATGCTGGTCCCGTGCACAACCCCATCGCTGTTCCCCCAGCTCAGCTCAGCAGACTGCACAGCAAAAGCAAGACTCCTCCTATCATCCCAACACCTGCTACCAGAGAGAACGCAGCACTAACGCTACTGCCAATCCTGAAAGCTCTTCTCCTGCTTAAAGCCTCCCTTTGCAGACAAATTTGGATGTGGAAATTCACCTTAGAATGTCTCCCTTGTTGAGACTGAGCAGAACATTGTAGCCCTGGAACTCCGCTTCGCTGGCACAGAAGACGCCCTTGTTTCTCAGGTCCTGGTACATCTCCTTCAGGCTCTGCAGGCACTTGGTCAGGTTCTCATTATTGATCTTGGCATCAAAAGAAGACATGGGCTCCTCACACATGAAGTGGGCACAGTGGATGTGAAATCGGGTGCACTTCTCAATCAGGGACACCGTCAGCGGGTCGCAGAGGTGCTGCTGCGTGATATCCTGGCCACAGGTGAGGGGGAGGATCATACACACATTCCCATGCAGAGAGTCAGCTATGAGAAAGATCACGCTATGACCTCAATTTCTCACATTTCAATGTGCAACAAAGCCCAGGATGTACGTTTTAATAGGACTTTGTAGTGATTTAAATAAAAGTACTTGTTTTTTTTTTTTTTTTTGAGACAGGGTCTCGCTCTGTCACCCAGGCTGGAGTACAGTGGTGCGTGCGGTCTTGGCTCACCACAACCTCCCCCTCCTGGATTCAAGCAATTCTCCTGGCTCAGCCTCTTGAGTAGCTGGGACTTTATAGGTGTGTGCCACCATGCCCAGCTAATTTCTTTCTTTTTTTTTTTTTTTTGACAGAGTCTAGCTCTGTCATCCAGGCTGGAGTACAATGGCACAACCTCAGCTCACTGCAACCTCCACCTCCCAGGTTCAAGTGATTCTCCTGCCTCAGCCTCCTGAGCAGCTGGGATTGCAGGCGCCTGCCACCACACATGTCTAATTTTTAGTAGAGATAGGTTTTCACTGTGTTGGCCAGGCTGGTCTCGAACTCCTGACCTCATGAACTGCCCACCATGGCCTTCCAAAGTGCTGGGATTACAGGCATGAGCCACCATACCTAGCCACACCCAGCTAATTTTTTTATTTTCAGTAGAGACTGGGATTCACCATGTTGGCCAGGCTGGTCTCAAACTTCTGACCTCAGGTGATCCACCCACCTCGGCCTCCTAGAGTGCTGGGATTACAGAGGTGTGAGCCACTGCGCCCTGCCCATGAAGGTACATTTTTGTTACAGGTAAAATACGTAACTGAGTAAAATAAAAATAACTATCAGTTTGACTTTGGAATTTGCATGCATTTTTTAGCGTCCAGGTTGGAAGCAGCCAATACCTTCCGTATGCCACGTGTGCGGTTCCACACGAAGTCGTACCAGTCCCGCAGGCTGCCCTCCTTCTGGTCCATGATCTGGGTCACCAGGTAATCCATAGTCCTGCTGAGCACTGCCAAGGGCCGCAGCTCGTGGGGCAGAGGCTCCTCCTGATCAGCTGAGGACCGGCTGTACTCTTTCACGGCTGCTGCGTGGTCCACCTAGGGACATGAAGTAGAGATGGGCTGCCCGTGAGAAACACCTTGGGCCAGGCACAGTTATGCCTGAAAATGAGGGAAAATCACATATACACCCACAAAGATTAATATTTGAGAACACATTTTTTTCAACATAAAATTCTGTTAAAAAGTGACAAAATTCAAAGGCAAAATAAATTGAGAAATTTGATGTGGCAAATACAAGGAGTTGAGACACGAATGCGTCATGACAAACAGGAGGAATGTATGTGAAGGCACATCTGCAAGCTCTGAAGCAGAGACGGGACAGGGGAGGGCCTCAAAGCATTTAACAGGTCTCAGCTCTGCTCACACCCCAGCTGAAGTCTACACAGACCAGAAGTGAAACAGAGACGGGCAGTGAGGACTGCTGAGGGCACAGCAGCAGGGGCCAGCTGTCCACCTGGGGCCTGGAGCTGCATCACCCGCCTCAAAAGGAGGCTGATGACATGGCCAAGAGAAGACGCAGAAACATCTGCAGGACGAGGCCCAGAGCACGTGCTCTCTCCTGCAGCAGGGGTCCCACACACACCTGCTGCTGGTCTGGGGACACCGCACCGGGTGAAGGGTGTATAAAGCCACCAGCCAGAAAGAGGAGGAGAAGCCCACAAGCAAAATTCGCAAAGTGCAAAGGATTTAAATTGGTGCAGCTTCCTGGGAAAACAACTGGGGAAGATACACGGATAATGTTTGGGAAAGGTCAAACCCTCCAATGCAGTAATTTGATTCTTAGGATCCGAACAAAGTAATCTAAACACCAGAGAAACATGACACGAAAGACACCAAACCATATTTTAAAAGAACTAAAAATTTAGAAACAGCCTATCTACTAATGGTAAAAGTGCAGAGTTTTGACAGAGATACTAATAAAATATGCTGTCATTTCTACATGCTCATAGTTCAGCATAACAAAGGAAAATGTTCATGACATAATTTTAAGTGAGAAAGATACACATAAAATTATATCTAGAATATAATCCCGAATGTGCAAAACATAAGCATAGAAAAGGGTAAGAATGATTATAAAAAGAAAAAAGCCGGATGTGGCGGCTCATGCCTGTAATTTCAGCATTTTGGGAGGCAGAGGCAGGTGTATCACTTGAGCTTAGGTGTTCAAGACCAGCCTGGGCAACACAGCAAGACCCCATTGCTACAAAAAAAGAAAACAATAACTGGGCATGGTGGACCACGCCTGTAATCCTAGCTACTCAGTAAGCTGAGAGGGAGGATCACCTGAGCCTGGGAAGTCGAGGCTACAGTGAGCCATGATTGCACCACTGCTCTCCAGCCTAGGTGAAAGAATAAAATCCTGCCTCCAAAATAAATAAATAAATATTTAAAAAACAACTATTAAAAAAAAAAACATGGCTCATGTCTGTAATCCCAGCACTTTGGGAGGCCAAGGCAGGTGGATCACTTGAAGTCAGAAGTTCGAGACCAGCCTGACCAACGTGGAGAAACCCTGTCTCTACTAAAAATACAAAAATTAGTGGGCATGGTGGTGCATGCCTATAATCCCAGCTACTCAGGAGGCTGAGGCAGGAGAATCACTTGAAACTGGGAGGCAGAGGTTTTGGTGAGGTGAAACTGCACTCCAACCTGGGCAATAAGAGTGAAACTCCATCTCAAAAAAAAAACATTAAAAAAAAAAAAGAGTGTAACTCTGTCTCAAAAAAAAAAAAAAAAAAATTTGCATCTATATCTTATCATGTATAGGTACAATTACAGAGTGAACATCTCACAATGCAAAAGAGCTGAATATGATTGTTAATGGCACAAATACTCAATACCCTCTAAAACAAGCAAAACACCTAAATCCAGTATGTACAGAATTACAAAAGAAGCCTCCTCCCCTGCACAGCCTGCCCCCACTCCACGGGGAGACACAGGGCTCTACCTGGTCAGTCCCAGGGATCACTTCAAACACGCTCAGCTGGCTTCGGGTCTCCCTCATGTACCGTTCCTTCTCGGGACACATATCCAGGCAGGTTCCAACGAAAGTCCTTGCTTTGTCCAGATCGGTTCTTTTCACCCGAGCTAAATGACGTCAAGTAAAAAGGTAAGAAAGTACCACACGGTTAGCATGAACCTACAGAAGTATACTCTCATAATGATAAAAAGAAATTAAAAGTTAAAACATACCCACATTACAAATGAAAAGAAAAATATCTGTCAAACTCTGAGCCTCAGAGAAAGAGGACTTAAGGTCTATTCTGCCAGGGAGTGGGACATCAAAGCTCCCAAAGACCCCTGGGTCTGCTGCTCTCCAATAGTCACAGACCCTCACTGCAGACTAAAAGCGGGACACAGCCTCACTTTCAGCCAGAGTTTTTAACTCCTGTCATAACCTCAATGACAAACTCTCATGGTGCAGGATGTTTAACAGAAGGATTGACTCATTACAACTGCAAATATTCCAAATATTGGCCGGGCACGGTGGCTCACGCCTATAATCCCAGCACTTTGGGAGGCCGAGGCAGGTGGGTCACGAGGTCAGGAGATCAAGACCATCCTGGCCAACATGGTGGTGAAACCCCATATCAAAAAAAAAAAAAAGCCAGGTGCGATGGCTCATGCATGTAATCCCAGCACTTTGGGAGGCTGAGGTGGGTAGATCACCTGAGGTCAGGAGTTCAAGACCACCCTGGTCAACATGACGAAACCCCGTCTCTACTAAAAAAAATTAAAAAATTAGCCAGGCATGGTGGTGGGTGCCTGTAATCCCAGCTACTCGGGAGGCTGAGACCGGAGAGTCACCTGAACACAGGAGGCGGAGGTTGCAGTGAGCTGAGATTGTGTCATTGCACTCCAGCCTGGGCAACAAGAGTGAAACTCCATCTCAAAAAAAAAAAAATACATATATATATATATATATACACACACACACACACACACATACACACACCACTACTCTAAAACTCTGAAACAGTATTCATCGTGACTTGAAAGTAAGAATCATGTAATGGAAGTTAACTGGGTTCTTACCTGAATAACTGCTATGATTACACTTAGAATTAAATAGTTGCAAATGTATCTTGCAAATAAAAAGAAATGCAACAACTTCACAACTCAAAATATATACTTTGTGTTTTTATTTTGAAAAGTTCTATAACCTGGGCTTGGTGTAGTAGTGGCTCATGCCTATAATCCCAGCACTTTAGGAGGCCGAGGTGGACGGATCACCTGAGGTTGGGAGCTCAAGGCCAGCCTGACCAACATGGAGAAACTCTGTCTCTACTAAAATTACAAATTAGGTGCGGTGGCCCACGCCTGTTAATTCCAGCACTTTGGGAGGCTGAGGCAGGAGGATCACCAGAGGTCAGGAGTTTGAGACCAGCTTTGCCAATGTGGTAAAACACCATCTCTACTAAATATACAAAAATTAGCCAGGCCTGGTGGTGGGCGCCTGCAATCCCAGCTACTCAGGAGGCTGAGGCAGGAGAATTGCTTCAATCTGGGAGGGGAAGTTTGCAGTGAGGTGTGATCATGCCACTACACTCCAGCCTGAACAGCAAAGCAAGACTCCATATGAAAAAAAAAAAAAATACAAAACTAGCCAGGCATGGTGACACATGCCTACAATCCCAGCTACTTAGCTACTTAGGAGGCTGAGGCAAGAGAATCACTTGAATCAGACAGGTGAAGGTGAGCCAAAATCGCACCATTGCACTGCAGCCTGGGCAACAAAAGTGAGACTCCATCCCCCCAAAAAAAAAGTAAAAAGAAAAATTCTAATACCTGGTGTATCACAACTGTAATCCCAGCACTTTGGGAGGCCAAGGAGGGCAGATTGCGAGGTTAAGAGCTCAAGACCAGCCTGGCCTACATGGTGAAACCCCATCTCTACTAATACAAAAATGAGCTGGGTACGGTGGTATGCACCTGTAGTGGTGGGAGGCTGGGAGGCTGAGGCAGAAGAATTGGTTGAACCCAGGAGATGGAGACTGCAGTGTGCCAAGATCACACTACTGCACTTCAGCCAGGGCAACAGAGCAAGACTCCATCTCAGGAGGAAAAAAAAAAAGAAAACTTCTAATACCTAATGATTTTATTTGGAGTACAAAAATCACTATATCAATGACACAATGTATGATGGCAGCTTTTATTACTATATAATAAGGAAACACTGTGATTATTCTAATTATCCACACAGCCTTTAAAAAAAGGGATAGATGCCAGGCACGGTGGCTCACGCCTATAATCCCAGCACTTTGGGAGGCCGAGGCGGGTGGATTACGAGGTCAAGAAATCGAGACCATCCTGGTCAACATGGTGAAACCCCGTCTCTACTAAACATACAAAAAATCAGCTGGGCATGGTGGCGCATGCCTGCAATCCCAGCTACTCAGGAGGCTGAGGCAGGAGAATTGCCTGAGCCCAGGAGGCGGAGGTTACGGTGAGCCAAGATCGCGCCATTGCACTCCAGCCTGGGCAACAAGAGCGAAACTCCGTCTCAAAAAAAAAAAAAAAAGAGGGATAGCTGAATTTTTTTTTTTTTTGGAGACATAGTCTCACCCTGTAGCCCAGGCTGGAGTGCAGTGGCGCAATCTCAGTTCATTGTAACCTCTGCCTCGAGGGTTCAAGCAATTCTCCTGCCTCAGCCTCCCAAGTAGCTGGGACTACAGGTGCACACCATGGTACCCAGCTAATTTCTGTGGTTTTTTTTTTTTTTTTGTAGAGACGGGTTTTTGCCATGTTGGCCAAACTGGTCTTGAACTCCTGACCTCAGGTGGTCCACACGCCTCAGTCTCCCAAAGTGCTGGGATTACAGGTGTGAGCCACTGCGCCTGACCCAGCTGAAATTTAAGACAAAAAAATTGGCAAAGAGGAGTACCTGTGTTTTTCCTTTTATTTGTGATCCCTGCATATGTTTTCAGTGTTAATGGAATACTTTCTTTTTAGTAGGTAATACATTCACACAGTTCAACATTCCAATAGGTAAGTATGTCCTGTCCAAGATGGAACACTCCACCATAACCTCTGCCCTTCAGAAACCCACTCCCTCGGCCAAGCGTGGTGGCTCATGCCTATAATCCCAGCACTTTGGGAGGTGGGTGGATCACCTGAGGTCAGGAGTTCCAGACCAGCCTGGACAACATGGTGAAACCCTCTCTCTACCAGGAAGGGAGGCTGAGGTGAGCTGAGATCACGCCACTGCACTCCAGCCTGGGCAACAAGAGAGAGACTCATCTCAAAAAAAAAAAAAAAAAAAAAACCTGCTCCCTCTACATACATGAGCCCATCCTTCTGCCTGCTCCCACTACTATTTTATATACATGTAAGCAAACATATTTGAACGCATATGTACACACACAGAGCACTCACTCCAAGGAAGACTGGCCAACCATGAAGCTCAGGCACAGCACATCACAGGCCCTGAGACTCAACAGCAACAGAGCCCAGTGGAAAGAAGCTGCTCCAGCTCTGATGGCACCCAAGAGGACAACCTCACCAGGCCCCCAGAACCTCTGCCACCATGCACCATACCTTGCCGCATGATCCTGTCTCTCTGGTCAAGCAGGCGGTACTTTTCCTTGGACGTCTCAGCCACGGTGCCTATCAGGGCGCTGACGGGGGGCACACATGGCCCGAGGCCCTCGGAGCCCTCAGAGCCAGAGTCAAAAGAGTCTCCCTCAAATTGGTGGGCCTTTAGGAGACTTGGCTTCTTCACTGGAGAGCTATAAAGTAAACACGATATTGAGGGCCCTTGTACCAGTAAGGCCTTTAGAGGATTTTCATTTCTGAACATGTCCCCTCATCTTCCAAGATTTTCTGGTCCTCTGAAGTTGAGAAACTACAAACACTAAAGTGAGGAGTCTTGAAAAAGATGGTAATCAGCACAAAAGCGTTATTGCCGGGCGCGGTGGCTCAAGCCTGTAATCCCAGCACTTTGGGAGGCCGAGGCGGGTGGATCACGAGGTTAAGAGATCGAGACCATCCTGGTCAACATGGTGAAACCCTGTCTCTACTAAAAATACACAAAATTAGCTGGGCATGGTGGCACGTGCCTGTAATCCCAGCTACTCGGGAGGCTGAGGCAGTAGAATTGCCTCAGCCCAGGAGGCGGAGGTTGCGGTGAGCCGAGATCGTGCCATTGCACTCCAGCCTGGGTAACAAGAGCGAAACTCCGTCTCAAAAAAAATAAAAAAGAAAGTTATCAAAATTAGCCAGCATGGTGGAGCACTCGTAATCCCAGCTACTAGAGAGGCTGAGGCAGGAGAACTTCTTGAACCCAGGAGGCAGAGGTTGCAGTGAGCCAAGATTGCGCCACCAAACTCCAGCATGGGCAACAAAGACTCCATCTCAAAAAAAAAAAAAAAGAGGCGGAGCGCAGTGGCTCATGCCTGTAATCCCAACACTTTGGGAGGCCAAAGCGGGTGGATCACCTGAGGTCAGGAGTTCGAGACCAGCCTGACCAACATGGAGAGACCCTGTCTCTACTTAATTTAAAAAAAAAAAAAAAAAAAAAGAATGCATAGTTTATTACAGCCAGTTAGATGTCTTAAGGAAAAAAGTTCTTGCTTATACATTTACATGCCAAGTGGAACTGCACTCAACTGCAGTGGAATTCATGACAAGTAAGATGAGCGAGGAGGTTTGCTACGATACCCTGTGAGGCAGGCAGCCACAGGGTGCCAGGCTGCGTGTGTCTGTCCCACAGAGCAGGCACTGTGTGTCCTCAGTGAGCAGCCTCCCCCGATCTCCTGTAACAGCTGCTATAGCTGAAAGGCCTTCACCAGCTACAGCAACTGTGTGACGAGATTCTCCCATAGAAAATGCCAAGATGGAAACAAACAAAAAAAGGCCAGCCCCAAAGAAAGGTTTTCTCAGCAACCTTGACCCTAGGGTATGTGAGAACAAGACAGGACAGTATCACTGCTCTCCACCTTCTCTGCAGCTGGCAGGTACCAGTGTCAGAAAATTCTCTCTCCTGGCTGAGAGCACCAGCCCCACACAGACCCACCTCCACACGGCCCATGCTGGCTGGAGGGGCAGGCTCAGGAACCCCGGCACCTCGACCCCCAAGCATCCCTGACAACTGGCTCTTGTTTCCTCACAACCCCTCCTCCCACCCCACAGTCCAGACTCAGGTGTCACTGTAGGGCAGTATTTCCTGGTCCTTCCCAAATAAGGTCATCAGGAGGGGCCATCCCACCTTTTATTCAGCAGGCTGCTAGCACCAGCCCTCCCTGCGGCCTTGCCAAGAGGCGAGTGCTGAAACGGTGTGTCTTCCGGGCTCGGGCTGACTACAACATCACCAGGCTTCTTCTCCTTCAGGGAAAAGGGTTTCTTATTGGGGCCTGAGGACGTAGGAGGCAGAAAAGAGTTTACGCAATCACAGATCACCTGGTACTGGACTTTTTCACTTTGTTTTTGAGAAAGTAATATTCTTTTCATTGTCACAGGAGGTTAGAGAAGAGCCCAAGGAAGTAACTGTGAGATGCAAATCTGAGCAGAGCCAGCCTCCCCCATTGGCTGGGGAAAGGGCCTACACTCAAAGGGTTTGTACAGAGCAAGAGAAACCAAAGAGAGGACCACGACACACACAGTGGCTCATGCCTGTAATCCCAGATCAGCCTGGGCAACGTACTGAGATCTTGTCTCTATTAAATAAATAAATAAAAATAATTTTCTAAAAACTGAGAATTGAAAACTCACTTTTCTTCCTGTGCCAAAAGATCGCCATGTCTTTATGCAAACTTTTCCCCTTCTTTCTAGCCAGGGCTGCAGATGCCTAGAAAACAACCGCCAAGTGTGAGTACATCAGGAGAGTTAAGGGAATGGGACTGAAACTCAGATGCAGTGTGAGTACATCAGGAGAGTCAAGGAAATGGGACTGAAACCTCAAACGCAGTAAGCAGAACATCCATCCAAAGGCA